CACCGTCCCAACAGATGAAGAGGAGTTTCAAATCTTTTATGAGGGTTGGAGATCTCAGGAAAAGACAAGGTTTTTGAGAGACTCAGAGGTGACCTCTAAGGGAGATTTAAGAACTTTTAATAAAGTATTAAAAAAAAAGGGTTAGTCACCAAGCCAATTACTAGAGTGGAGTATCCAAGGGGGTAACCCCATTTCATAAAAATATTTTCATAAAATTCAGCGGATATCCTGCCAACTGCATATGTTGCAGCTCTCTGGAATGCGAGTGCAATTAAACACTCAATTTGCAGTCTCTTCCAGAATGTTTGTAAATGAAATTTGGGCAAAGGTAAAGTTTGTGCGCCGGGAGCTGGAACTGAAGTTGTGGGATTGAGGTGGATTGGGGATCTGGGGACTTGGATCTCGGCGAGGCCGGAGACATCGTCAACAAAAGTCGCAACACAAATAGCAAAAACAAAATGACGCCCCACAACTTTTGCGGGAAATACACCCAACTAAAGACGCTGACGTTGCGCATTTGCCGTAGATTATTACAAAAGTTTAAATACACAGACAGATGGAGTCGACCCTGGGAACTCTTGTGATTATAGTGCCGGAGCTTTCGCCCGATGCCCTCAGGTGTTGTGACTGAGTTTTGCTTCCCGGAGTCGACAGGAGAGGGGAGCTGGCACTGCGGCCAACTAGACAGGATCCGAACTGACACTCAAGGAGTTGAATTCAGTTCGAGTTGAAGCTTTTAAATAGCCTTGGCAGTTGCACTTGTTTTCACAGTTTTCCCCAAGCAGTTTCGTTTTTTTTTTGTCTCTCCCATCAACCCCAGAATTTGAGGTGAAAGGTTCGGAATGGCAGAGAAAGTGGGAAAAGTGGGGGGAAAACCTATGTCGTCAGACCGCAAATTGTTTGGCCAGCAGTTTATTCGAGACAGACAGATGGTTCTTGAGATTGAGAATTGGTAAACCTGAAACGTATTGCTGGAGTTTTGTGGGCCAGAGAGGTAGAAACTTTAAAAGTGTGAAATAAACTAGTATACAGTCATAATGGAAATCTTAAAAGTTGCCTTTGTATTTTATATTTTTCTCATATAAGTTAAAGACAACTCTTACTGTGTCTTAATGTGAGTGTTGTTTCAGGAACTCAGGAAGTCCTTTTAATCAGGATCCTTTCTTTCTTTTCCCCTGCGAGTTCACCAATTTGTGTATCTTTCATCTCGTGTCGTCATACATTTAATTTTGCTCACATCCCCCAATTTCCTTGGCTTTTCCTCCAATGATGGGTCTGTTGGTGGCATTCACTTTCGTTTTAATTTGGCAGCCCGCATAATTTTGCTATGATTTGCACTTCTTAATTAATTATTTTTCGTTTTCGTTACCCAAAGCGGATTTGAAGGAGCTGTGTCAGCATCCACAAACATGTGTGTGAAGGAAACCCTTTTGGCACAAACACCAACTCGTACACCATGCCCGTGTGGAAAACAAACTTCGGCATGGAAAACTTTCTCCTTCATGGCACAAGTACAAAGAAGGGGTTATTAACCGGAAGAGGGTATCCGAGAAATTCTTTCCTTTGTTTAGGCCGTGCGAACAAGGAAATTTGCTGGAAATGTTCGTATCTCGATGTCCTTTGCCTAAATGCAGTTGAGTGAAAATTCCCATTTCCACAAAATAGAATGAAATTGAATTTTTTTAGAAACTTAAAATATTCTCAACTTGGTAGCCTTTTCCTAAACCATTTCATATAATCCTCATATCGCATTTATCCAAAATAATATTTAAGAAAAAAGAACCACGTATTTCAATGAAATTATTTTTTTTAGGCATTTCTAAAGTTTTTCGCATGCGTAATATTGGAGGAAAAAAATCAATGCAATAATCCGCATTCAATGAAAAAGGCTTAGCTCGACTAAGTCCCCCGGGCTCATGGCAATTGACAGGAACCGAAGCGTATCCGGGAACCAGAACACAGACATGTCGGAGCTTTTTGTTTCATCGCAAAACGCAAATGGCAAATGGCAGCTACCCAGCCCATCTCATCCCAGCCCAGCCTTCGTTCCTTCCATTCGTTGGTTTTTTCTATTAGTTCTGATTAAGCGAGAGTCCCCGTGTCGATTCCGTTCTATTGTCAATTGCATTTGGATTTCGATTTGGCGTGAATGCAAATTGGGATTCGACAGCTGCTCATTACTTAGACGCTTAACCACGCGTCGCTTTGCATTTGGGCGATTAAAGTTGCGCTTGCTTTTCGTACTGGAGCGTCACCTGGTTGGTATACGGAAATTGGAAATTGAAAATTTCACCCGCGACATTGGCAAGGGTGCCAAATGTCAAAGTGCCAGCGGCCACACCCACCAACGATACCATCCCGCACACCCAAAAAACACCCATCCGCACCCACAGCCCCGCAATCACACGCAAAAGAATCCGGCGTTCGACATCTCCATCCGAATCTCCATTGGCATCTGGCAGAGCCATCTCTGTCCCGCATCTCACATCTCATCCATCGCCAGAGCATGTAAATTGCTCTGGCAAACAAATCACGTATACCTACAGTGAGAGAAAATTATAGACTTAAGGGGGAAGCACTCAGCTATTATAAAGTATCTAATATAGTCCAGAATATAGTTTCCTTTTCAATAAAATTAAACTGATGAATTGTACAATATCCTAGTAAGGTTTATTAAAGTATCCTTATTTTCTTCATCTGTATATAACGTATACGCCGTGTAATGCGCGTCGTTCCTGTTCCGTTGTCGTCATATCAAAAGCCAGAAAAGGCTGCTGGATTTTTGCGGTCTGTAGCTGAAAGGCTAAGCAACCGCATTGAGTGACTGAGTGCCGTTATTTGGCCAAGCACGCCGCCACCACTACCACCACCCACCCCTACTCCACTCTCCCTTTTCCTTTTTCCGTTCTTAACGGTAACCAGAATTCAGGATCCAGCAACCAGGATCCATGGGGCCTAGGCAACCACAACCGGAAACGGGTGCGACCAAACGTCTCGCTCGCTTTGTCTGCTTGGATTTCAGCGATGTGTGAGAGTAAACACACACACACACACGCACACACAGAGATATATCCTGTAAGGATTCGATATTTGAGACCTTTAAGAATTTACTGCACTATTGCCATGAGCATGAGTAGTAAATGAACATCGTCTTGAAAAATGTGCAGCGATAACTTTGAATATTTTTATTCCATCACAAAAAATGTATTAACTTACCTGATTTTCTTAAGTAATCTCCCTAAAATAAACCCTGATGCAGCCCATCTGCAGAAGTTGCTAATCATTACGCAAAACCGTAATGGAAGAGACTTGGTAATTACTTGAAAATATGCATTAAAAACTTTTCGCCAGCAGCCACAGCCGATAATAAAGAAAAAGTCGAAAGCTGACAGCTGAAAGCAGAAGAAAGTGGTAGTGATGGGGAGGAAATTCGGCACAGGACTTGATATTGAATCAATTAAAAGAAAAACTCGACAAGGCAATGATGCAACAAATTAAAACGCATACGAAGTGGGCTAATGAAATTCTAAGGCAAACCATCTACCTCCCCAGTCTCAGAGTGACGATATGGAGGATGGGGGAAATGGGAAAGTTCAAGGGTTCCAAGCCAGACCAAAACTCCTTCTTTAGACAAGGGCGGAAATTACCGAAAAATTGTGCCGAGCAGATGAGCAACAACAATAAACTTGGCCCAAAAAATTAAGGCAAGTGGAGTTAAAAGTTAAGCCAACAAATGAAGATGCTGGATGGTAGTGGAAATGGGAATGGGATTGAGCTTGGGCCTGACTAGAGGGGTGAGCTAGAGGAAGTGCAGAGGTCGTGGGCTTGACGTATGGCCTATCTCAGATACAGCCACTGGAAAAAATGGATACGACTTTGGTTTCAAGAATAAGAAATAATTTATAATTATTCTAGTTTTTTACATTATCGTACCCAAAGTGTGGATTGTTAATAAGCTTATATTGACATCTAATTCCCTTTTTTGTTGAGTGTATGTATATGTGAGCTCTATCCACATTCGCACAACCACGTATTCACTCACACAAAGACAGAGGCCAACTTCAAGCGCAATTTTACGCAACAACAAAAAGTTTAATTGAGGATAAACTTTGCTGCGTTTGCGCTGCTGTTGAAAATCAACCAACGTCGACATGGAAAATTCTCCCCCAACCCCCTCAAGCCCCAAGAAAAGCCGGGAAATGGGAAAAGCCAGGAGGCCTTAGTAGTGTAGGAATTGCGTGTATGTTTGCCTCTTATCTCTTTGGCTGTTTAAGTTTTCGCTTTCAACTCGGCATTACTTTCTTAATTTCCTTTCATTTTTTTTTCTTTTCGCGGGAGAACTTTAGCTTTAAGGTACATATAGTATGTAGGGAACAAATATATATAAAATGGGTTAAAAAAAAAAAAAGAAAATACCATTGAAACCATTTGAACATTTATTGGTCATTTATTGCGCATCGCTTCGCGCATTGTTTGCTGGAGCCAAATGAATGGCAAATATGGACAAGAAGGAAATGAAAAACGATTTGACCCGAGAGTAGATGTCCGGCAACCTGACCCCACCAATCAACCCCGCCAAAACCCCGCCCGACAGCCCCTGTCCTGGCCAACCACACACTCACTACAAGGGCACAGATGTATGTGCCATAATTCGTTATTTGAACTGAAGTAGACTGAGCCAATGTGGGACAATGGAACACAAATGACCTGAATAAAGGCGACGACGCGACAAAAACGATTGACTCTACATGTGTCCTTTCATATGCTTTTTTTTGGAAAAATAGCTACCTGAGCAGGAGAATAGGACCAAGGACCAACTAGACGGAGTGATGGGTTCAAGCTGAAAACGAAATAGACCGATGATAGGTGGAGGCATTTTCAAAGAAAACTAATTGAACATTTTGGGGCAATTGGTTTTTGTATTAATATGTTTTCCAAAATACCTTCAAGTTGTTCTAAAAACTTATCATTTCCCTAAGATTTTATAGAAAAACACATGCTTTTATCATTTAAACAATTTTTATTAAGGGCTATCAGTCATTGAGCATACAAAAGGTAGCTTAATCCTTGGGTTCTGAGTATAATATTTCTTTTTTTACCACAAAGCTGGACCAGCATAGCCCAAAGGTGCTGGGGCATAGGCCAAAGGAGCCGAGTATTTGGCCAGGAAGGGAGCGGCGTAGGGATGGGCTAAAGGAGCAGCAAATGGAGATACAGTTTTGATGATGGGAGCAGGCAGTGGAGCTGCAAGAGGGGCAGCGATAGGAGCTGCCAGTGGAGCTGCAAGAGGGGCAGCGATAGGAGCTGCCAGAGGAGCGGCCAGTGGGGCAGCGAACGGAGCAGCAAAACGGGGAGCTAAAGGAGCAGCCAGAGGAGCAGCAATGGGAGCTGCGAGCGGAGCGGCCAGAGTCCTCAGAACTGGAGCAGGAGCCACGGGAACGGGAGCCACGGTCCTCAAGATGGGAGCTGGAACTGGAGCCACTGGAACGGGAGCCACAATTGGAGCTGCAGCGATTCCGTTGAATGTCCTGGCCACAACCTGGCTACTGGCAGCAGTGACAACTGGAGCCGGAGCAGGAATGGCGGCCAAAGGAGCATGGAGCAATCCAGGCTTTCCGGCCACACAGGCGATCAAGGCGCAAATGACAACGGCCTAAAAAATAGCAAAAATAAGTAATAATCCAAAAAAACTAATTGAAAATACTAACGTATTTAAACATGGTGAGTTTTTTTGTTGAAATACGTTTGATTTCTTTAGACTTGAAGCTTTGGTTGGCTTGAAAGCGAAACGCTGACTGATGACAATCGAAGACAGCGGTTGGCATATTTATACCACCAAACGGCCCACACGGCGGCTACTTATTATTCTGAGAGTGTCGCCAGCATTCGGCCATTATAAGTGTCTGAAAAATATTAGTTGGTAGTTTAGGTTTTGGGTCTTCGAGGGCCGGCACAAAACCCGAAGGGCAGCCAATTGCACTTGGTTGGTAATTATACACAAATGCGTGGTAAGTGCAATTTCGATTTCAGTTGGAATTTACCACTTTTGGAATTTGGTTGCTGTAAGCCATATTAAATGACAATTGGGTTAATGGGTGATGGAAAAAACACTGGTGAAAATTTGCATTTCGGTCGAGCTGTGGTCTCTTTGTCTGGATATTGCTGAAAATTTAGTTCTCTATTGGTTTTTTTCGTGTCTTCCAAAAGTTAACAATGAATCAAATAAAATGCTCAAATGCGATAACCAAACACTTTTGCCTTTGACCTCAGGCCTTTCGAGTTCTCACCTAGATGGGGACAAACCTGTTGGCATTTAAGGAGCATATGTATAATATATGTAGCGTCCCAGGGATACTGGCCAATTAAACATTTTGAACACGTGCCGAATTTGCTCGGCAGTGGAAAGCACACATGAACTCACTCGAATAATTTCGGGTGCTCCTCTGTGACACTACAATGTTTAATGTTTCGGGTCAAGGTTGAAATGCGGTTGTAGCCGTATGACCTTTGCCATTTGTTTAGGGAACTAAAGAACCAGTTGCCCAATTGAGCAATGAAAGCAAACAACTGCAGCGCAGGGTATAATAATAAAAGAATGTACTACTGTTTACTTTGGTTCTTATTTACTTTTGTTTGCAGGTCACTAAAGTTAAGCCTTGTTTTTGAAGCTTTATGTGTTCTTGATTAAAAAAAGTAAATGTTATGTATTTAAGTCATATCTTTAATCAATACACATATCCTTTAAACATTAAACTTTCAAATACCCAACATCCTTTCGGGAATACTAAGAATTCTATTTTAAATTCACGACACCTTGAAATTTTCACTTTCAGTTTCATTAAAGCCACAGCATATATTCCTACGTGTGGAATATGTATATATAGATACGTAGGTTTATCTGAACAGGCCACTTCGTAGCACGCTTATTACAGTTAGTCGAGGTGTGGCACACTCTGAATTTTAATTCTTTAACGACAAGTCCGTCACGTTCGCTTTCGAATTCGCCATAAAAATAAATCGAAATCGGTGAACGGTCATCAGCCAGAACGTTTTTTAGATTTGCTAAAACAAATAAGAACTATAAAAGCAGGAAGTAGCTCCCATCTTAACTTTATTGTTTAAACTGAAAACTAATTTTAAAAAAATGCCCTGATTTAAAACCTACTAGAATCAGTTACTGGGTAAACTCTTAATGTGTAAAGGAACACAAAAACATTTTATTTTTAAAATTTAAAACTCAATCTTACCCGACTGCAGTGATTCATCAAAAGCCCCTTAAGTTCATTAGCCTGGCCAAAACAGCCCTGCGACCTTGACATAATTACATATTTTTACCAACAAAATCTTCAAAACAAACCATTACGAGCCCTCTTTAATGTCACGCATCCATTGAAGGCCACCGGTGGCCAATAACTTGTCCACCGACTACGTGATCTGCCTCCGAATCGAGGTTGGGGAGTACATGGCCAGTCATTACTGTTGTTTATGGCAACAAGCCGACGACAGTTGCTAATTCAATTACAACTTCCCCGGCAGTTTAACCGATTCTCTTCCAATTTCAGATAAATCATATAAATTTTAAGATTCTATATCACGTTTATTATTCAGTCAACGAGTTTAGAGCAAAACTGGAGCGGCAGCTGGGAGACTACTGTAGGCCAGGGGGGAGGTATAAGCCAGGGGAGCAGCCAGAGGAGCCGCCGCATACTTGGCAATCAGTGGAGTGGCCAAAGGAGCTGCCAGGGGAGCTGCGGCGTACTTGGCGATCAATGGAGCTGCCACCTGGGCGACAACTGGAGCAGCTGCGATTCCATTGTAGTTCCTGGCGATCACCTGGCTGCTGGTAGCGGTGACAACTGGGGCAGGAGCAGCAACCACGGCGGCAGGAGCGGTGTAAGCCAGGGGTGCGGAGTACGCCAAGGGCGCAGTGTAAGCCAGCGGAGCTCCCAGAAGTCCTGGCTTGGCAGCAGCACAGGCAACGATGGCGAGGACAACAACGGCCTGTAGAATAAAGGTAACTCTTACTTCGAACTCTTAATATCTAGCTTCCTATAAGAGACTTACGTATTTGAACATCTTTACTTAATTTGATTGGTTTGCTTCTTGGGAAGGCTGATATCTGATTGATAATCCACCACCTCTGGCCGAGTGTATTTATACCCAAAAAGAGTCTTCAGCTCTGACGCATTGCCTTCATTTAAATCCAGCATTAAATCCAGCTCATCTTCATTTGCTTCAATTCGCAATCTACCATTATTTATGTGGTTTCCCACTGCTAAGAGTGGAATAGATGATATTGGACACTGAGCTAATGGTTTGAGGTCACATTCCAGTCTACCCTCGAAGTATAAATAGGTCTGCAGAAGGTGTTGAATGGTATCAGACAAGTTCAAGTTTTCAAGCCGCAAACTTCAAAACAAAGCCACCATCAACATGTTCAAATCCGTGAGTTTTTGACGTAGAAAACATTGAGAAAGTAATTTAATTTTGTTTCCATCTTCAGGCTGTTGTCATCCTCGCTATTGTCGCCTGTGCCGCTGCCAAGCCAGGACTTCTGGGAGCTCCTCTAGCCTACACTGCGCCTCTGGCCTACTCCGCTCCTCTGGCCTACACCGCTCCTGCCGCCGTGGTTGCTGCTCCTGCCCCAGTTGTGACTGCTACCAGCAGCCAGGTAATCGCCAGGAACTATAATGGAATCGCTGCTGCTCCAGTTGTCGCCCAGGTGGCAGCTCCCGTGATCGCCAAGTACGCCACAGCTCCTTTGGCTACTCCTGTCGCTGCTCCCCTTGCCGCTCCCCTCACATACACTTCTTCTCTGGCGTACAATGCTCCATTGCACTATGCCTCAGCCGCCGTCCCTGTTCTTATTTAAAGGACCAATAAACGCCATTAAATGTTCCTAAATTTACATTTTTAGTATTATTTATCATTCGTATTAGAATAATTATGGTGAGTTCCCTTCAAATTTCGGAATAATGCATTGACAGACAATAAGACCCAGTGGCTATATCTTTGCCAACTATCATCCGATTTATTAGAAGAATACCGTATTTGTTTTATAGATCGATTTTTCATCTTTCTGCCTTTAAATCCCCGTGAAAATTCTAGGGAACGCATATGAAGGAAAATAAGGCCCACTAAGATGGCTATATCTTTATAAGCTATCATCCCAATCTCGAAAGGAATACCTTAAACGACTTGTAGATCGCTTCTTCACTAATCTGAATTAAAGTGTGCAACGCAGTGAAGGAGACATCTCGGACCCTATAAAGTATATAAATTCTTGATCAGGTCCGTCTGTTTGTCCGTCTGACAGTCTGTTTCTACGCGATCTAGTCTCTCAGTTGTAAAGCTATCGACTTGAAACTTTGCACACACTCTTCTTTGCTTTGCACACAGTATATGAGTCGTAACGGCTGGGATCGGCCGACTGTATCCTATAGATGGCTATATTGTACATATGATATTTTTGGCCAGTAGATCCGACATACCAAATTTCATAAGGATCGGCAGGCTTTATCCTATAGCTCCCACATAACTGAACAATCGGAAATGACCCAACTTTCATGTTCTTAAAGATAGAAAGAACTTGGTAAAGATTATATTTTTGGTCTGTTGATCCGACCAACCAAATTTCATAAGGATCGGCAGATCGGATCGTTATATTATGATATTCTCATAAGAATCGGACAAATATAACCGATGTTTTCGATATTTATGTGCAAGGGTTTAGTGCAATTAAGATTTACGTGCAAGGGTATATCAACTTCTGCTTCGCCCGAAGTTATCTTTCTTTTCTTGTTTTTAGTTTTTTTATAAATTTTTTGGAAAGGGAAAGGGCATGGAAAGGGAAATGCATGAAAAAGATATCGCCCACTGCGATGTCTATATATTTTTCAATTAAAATCCGACTCTTGAGCCGAATACCTTAACCATCTTGTACATCGATTATTCACCAATCATAATGGAATATCCCAGTTTTCAAAATATTAATACATAAATGTAACATTAAATAGATTTTTAAATCAAATTCCTTTTTGCTGCATCAAAATTTAACTATCCATAATTTTTTTTCGTATATATTTGTCGGTTTTTATTATCACAGTTATAGGCATTTATTCCTTAGATCAAAACAGGGGCCGGAGCATAACTCAGGGGAGCACTGTAGGTCAATGGAGAAGAGTAGGCCAGGGGAGCAGCCACTGGAGCCGCCGCATACTTGGCAATCACTGGAGCTGCAATTGAGGCAGCCAATGGAGTTGCCAGAGGAGCTGCCAGGGGAGCAGCGGCGTATTTGGCGATCATTGGAGCTGCCACTGGGGCAACAACTGGAGCAGCTGCGATTCCATTATAGTTCCTGGCGATCACCTGACTGCTGGTGGCGGTAACAACCGGGGCAGGAGCAGCTACTACGGCAGCAGGACCAGTGTAAGCCAGAGGTGCGGAGTAGGCCAGAGGAGCCGTGTAGGCTAGAGGTGCTCCCAGAAGTCCTGGCTTGGCAGCAGCACAGGAAACGATGGCGAGGACAACAACGGCCTAAAATATTGGAGGAAGTTGTTAATTCATGATATCCAGCTTCCTTTAAGTGACTTACGTATTTGAGCATATTGATTGTATTGGATTGGTTTTCTTCTGGGGAAGGCTGATGGCTGTTTGATGATCCACCACCTCTGGCCGAGTGTATTTATACCCAAAAAGAGTCTTCAGCTCCGACACTTTGCCTTCATTTAAATGCTGGGCTCATCTTCATTTGCTTCCATTCGCACTCTACCATTATTTATGTGTTTTCCACTGCTGAGAGTGAAATATCTGATATTGGACAATGGGTTAATAAGCCTGAGGTCACATTCAAATCTCTACTCGGAGTATAAATAGGTCTGCAGAAGGTGTTGAATGGTATCAGACAAGTTCAAGTTTTCGAGCCGCAAACTTCAAAACAAAGCAAACATCAACATGTTCAAATCCGTGAGTGTTTTGGCGCGGAAAACATGGAGAAAGTAATTTAATATTGTTTCTATCTTTAGGCTGTTGTCATCCTTGCTATTGTCGCCTGTGCTGCTGCCAAGCCAGGACTCCTGGGAGCACCTCTGGCCTACACTGCGCCTCTGGCCTACTCCGCTCCTCTGGCTTACACCGCTCCTGCCGCCGTGGTTGCTGCTCCTGCCCCGGTTGATACCGCCACCAGTAGCCAGGTGATCGCCAGGAACTACAATGGAATCGCAGCTGCTCCAGTTGTTGCCCCAGTGGCAGCTCCAGTAATCGCTAAATACGCCACTGCTCCGATTGCTGCTCCTCTGGCGACTCCCCTGGCTGCTCCTGTCATTGCCAAGTACGCTGTTTCTCCCTTGGCAGCTCCTTTGACTTATTCCGCTCCGCTTCTCTTTTAAATGTGGCCTGTGATAATAAATACCAAATGCACCGAATAGATTATGAAGTAGTACCTTCTTTGTTATAGTATTTTAGACTTAGAAGACGGCGACCTTGTCAGTAATTTTTACATTACTGAAAACAAGAAAGGAAAGCTAACTTCGGGCGGAGCCGAAGTTTATATACCCTTGCAGTTAAAACCGGATATATATCGCAAACATCGGATATAGTTGGCCGATCCCAATTTATTATAATACAAAAACGAAACCTTAAATTGTCCCAAACTTCTATCTTCAAAAACACGAAAGTTGGGTCATTTCCGATCGTTCAGTTATATGGCAGCTATAAGATATAGTCGGCCGATCCTTATGAAATTTGGCATGTCGTAATGGTTTGCCAAAAATAGCTCTCTTGTTGAATTTGAACTCTCTAACTCTAAAAACACCAAAGTTATACCATTTCCAATCAATCAGTTATATGGCAGCTATAGGATATAGTCGGCCGATCCCGGCCATTCCGACTTATATACTGCGTGCAAAGGAAAGAAGGGTGTGTGCAAAGTTTCAAGACGATAGCTTCAAAACTGAGAGACTAGTTCGCGTAGAAACGGACAGACAGACAGACGGACAGACGGACAGACGGACATGCTCATATCAACTCAGGAGGTGATCCTGATCAAGAATATATATACTTTATAGGGTCGGAGATGTCTCCTTCACTGCGTTGCACACTTTTGGACAAAATTATAATACCCTCTGCAAGGGTATAAATATCAGACAAGTAGGCTGTGCCTGTATACGTCAATCCTTCTTAACATAAAATTAAGAAACAATTTTCACTTCCCTTCAAAGCATCGAGAAGCATAGTCGATCCTGACCTTGTCAGTAATTTTTACATTACTGGAAAATATCAGGCAAGTAGGCTGCGCCAGTAGACGTCAATTCCTCGTATCATAAAATTAAGAAAAATTTTACTTCCCTATCAAGCTTAGATCGATCCTGAAACTGTGTAATTCTAAGGATTTTGCGATGGAAAACATTTCAATTCCAGAGCCAGTACCTCAAAATTTAGTGGAAAATCCTTCTAGTATAGAATCTGAAGCCGTCAAGGAATGCATCGAAGAAGACCGTATTAGCCAAAATGAACAGGGAGAAACTCTCAATAGTGATGCCTCTTCTTCGAATTCTTCCGGAGTGTCTTTGGCGGAGGCTAATGATTCTATGGAGGAAGAAGAAGGCACGAAGAAGGTGCGATTAACAACTAAGGAGCGTTTTCCTGGAAAAGGTAGAGTATATTTAAAGGAGGCAAGGTTTTGGTGGTTGATACAATTGTAGGGTTTTTATCGTTACTATGACCTAAGTTTCCTACGATTCAATGTAGTTCTATCATTTTTACCTCTTTCAAAATTATATATTTTTACTTTCAGTTTGCAATAAGACTATCAATTTGCGCAGAAAGATTGGCCCCAAGAGTCCTTACATGGCCATCAAAGAGCTGAAGGATATCACCATAAAGGACTACAGCGTGCGAAACGAAGGCAATGTATTCCTTGCCAAGGCCATTATTAATTCAAAATCTTATTTGGTTGAGGCCGACTCGAAATCGGCGGCCGTTAATCTTTTGTTCGAAAACGCCCTGAGGGAGTACTATGTCGCCAAGTCGCTGGTCAAGCCGAATCTGGTTTCATTGGACCTTAAGATGGATGACCCTGAGCAAGATGATGAGTTTCCAATGAGGAACCTATGCTCCGTAGCGCTCTTTAAGCTATTCGCCGAATGGGCTAGCAAAGGCTATGCTATTCCCGAGCTGAATCCTGATAGTATGGAGTGGAAAGATCTTACCTTAGAGATCAAGGATGAGCAGAAGAAGAAATTCAAGATTCAAAAATGGGAGAACAAGCATCCGGTTTGCTTGCTATACGAACTCTTTCCCAACGTAGTGATTAAAGACGAATCGACGGCCTCCCCTGAAGGGACGTTGGTTCACCACATGTCTTTGACCCTTGACGGAGCTACATTCAAAGCCAGTGCTTCCAACAAGAAGTTGGCTAAGCGCCGTGTGGCCATCCAGTTCTTAAACCAGGTGGCTGGCACTCAATACACTGAGTGAGCCAAGAGCTCCGCAGTTCACAGGAGCAGAGGTCACAGGTCACCAGTTGACCTTGACATAATGGCCCGCTTCTGCAGAAAAAGCTTAAAAATAAAACCTCTCGAATACAAATCAATTTCGCACAATTTAATGTAACAAACATTCGACGGCAGCTGCTGCCGCTGAGCTGACAATAATTTTTATGGCCAAAACGTGACCAGCATTGCCAAGCCCCCGATTGTCCCGCCAGCAGGTTGTGGCCCTTTGTTTGTATGCCACTTGTAAATCCAATTAGCCGACGCCCAAAAACAATGACTTTGTAACTTCAGTTTAGTTTGATTTTATTGTAAAATACCTAAACCAGAACCGGAGCGGCGGGCAAGGCGTTGTAGGCCAGAGGGCTGGAGTAGGCCAGGGGAGCAGCCAAAGGGGCAGCGATAGGGGCAGCAAGGGGGGCTGCGTACTTAGCGATCACGGGAGCTGCCACCTGGGCGACAACTGGAGCAGCTGCGATTCCATTGTAGTTCCTGGCGATCACCTGGCTGCTGGTGGCAGTCACAACTGGGCCAGGAGCAGCAACCACGGCGGCAGGAGCGGTGTAAGCCAGAGGAGCGGAGTAGGCCAGAGGCGCAGTGTAGGCCAGAGGTGCTCCCAGGAGTCCTGGCTTGGCAGCAGCACAGGCGACAATAGCAAGGATGACAACAGCCTAAAGATAGAAACAATATTAAATTACTTTCTCCATGTTTTCCGCGCCAAAACACTCACGGATTTGAACATGTTGATGTTTGCTTTGTTTTGAAGTTTGCGGCTCGAAAACTTGAACTTGTCTGATACCATTCAACACCTTCTGCAGACCTATTTATACTCCGAGAAGAGATTTGAATGTGACCTCAGGCTTATTAACCCATTGTCCAATATCAGATATTCCACTCTCAACAGTGGAAAACACATAAATAATGGTAGAGTGCGAATGGAAGCAAATGAAGATGAGCCCAGCATTTAAATGAAGGCAAAGCGTCGGAGCTGAAGACTCTTTTTGGGTATAAATACACTCGGCCAGAGGTGGTGGATCATCAAACAGCCATCAGCCTTCCCCAGAAGAAAACCAATCCAATACAATCAATATGTTCAAATACGTAAGTCACTTGAAGGAAGCTGGATAACATAAATTGGGAGTAACAACTACCTCCATTATTTTAGGCCGTTGTTGTCCTCGCCATCGTTTCCTGTGCTGCTGCCAAGCCAGGACTTCTGGGAGCGCCTCTAGCCTACACGGCTCCTCTGGCCTACTCCGCACCTCTGGCTTACACTGGTCCTGCTGCCGTAGTAGCTGCTCCTGCCCCAGTTGTCACCGCCACCAGCAGTCAGGTGATCGCCAGGAACTACAATGGAATCGCAGCTGCTCCAGTTGTTGCCCCAGTGGCAGCTCCAGTGATCGCCAAATACGCCGCTGCTCCCCTGGCAGCTCCTCTGGCAACTCCATTGGCTGCCTCAATTGCAGCTCCAGTGATTGCCAAGTATGCGGCGGCTCCAGTGGCTGCTCCCCTGGCCTACTCTTCTCCATTGACCTACAGTGCTCCCCTGAGTTATGCTCCGGCCCCTGTTTTGATCTAAGGAATAAATGCCTATAACTGTGATAATAAAAACCGACAAATATATACGAAAAACAAATTATGGATAGTTAAATTTTGATGCAGCAAAAAGGAATTTGATTTAAAAATCTTTTTAATGTTACATTTATGTATTAATATTTTGAAAACTGGGATATTCAATTCCATTATGATTGGTGAATAATCGATGTACAAGACGGTTAAGGTATTCGGCTCAAGAGTCGGATTCTAATTGAAAAATATATAGCCATATAGTCTATATAGTCTTTTCCATGCATTCAGAAAATTAAAAAAATAAATTTAAACAAGAAAAGAAAGTTAACTTCGGGCGCAGCCGAAGTTGATATAGGTACCCTTGCAGTTAAAACGGGATATATATCAAAAACATCGGATATATTTGTCCGATTCTTATGAGAATATCATAATATAACGATCCGATCGGCCGATCGTTATGAAATTTGGTAGGTCGGATCAACTGAACAAAAATATAATCTTTACAAAGTTCCAACTTTCTATCTTCAAGAACATGGAAATTGGGTCATTTCCGATTGTTCAGTCATATGGCAGCTTTAGGATATAGTCGGCCGATCCTTATGAAATTTGGTATGTTGGATTTACTGACCAAAAAATATAATATGTACAATATAGCCAGCTATAGGATACAGTCGGCCGATCCTGGGCGTTCGACTCATGTACTGCGTGCAAAGCAAAGAAGAGTGTGTGCAAAGTTTCAAGTCGATAGCTTTACAACTGAGAGACTAGTTCGCGTAGAAACAGACAGACAGGCGGACAAACTGAATGACCTGATCAAGAATATATATACTTTATAGGGTCCGAGATGTCTCCTTCACTGCGTTGCACACTTTAATTCAGATTAGTGAAGAAGCGATCTACAAGTCGTTTAAGGTATTCCTTTCGAGATTGGGATGATAGCTTATAAAGATATAGCCATCGTAGTGGGCCTTATTTTCCTTCATATGCGTTCCCTAGAATTTTCACGGGGATTTAAAGGCAGAAAGATGAAAAATCGATCTATAAAACAAATAAGGTATTCTTCTAATAAATCGATAGTTGATAGTTGGCAAAGATATAGCCACTGGGTCTTATTGCCTGTCAATGGATTATTCCGAAATTTGAAGGAAACTCACCATAATTATTCTAATACGAATGATAAATAATACTAAAAATGTAAATTTAGGAACATTTAATGGCGTTTATTGGTCCTTTAAATAAGAACAGGGGCGGCGGCTGAGGCATAGTGCAATGGAGCATTGTACGCCAGAGGAGAAGTGTATGTGAGGGGAGCGGCAAGGGAAGCAGCGACAGGAGTAGCCAAAGGAGCTGTGGCGTACTTGGCGATCACGGGAGCTGCCACCTGGGCGACAACTGGAGCAGCAGCGATTCCATTATAGTTCCTGGCGATTACCTGGCTGCTGGTAGCAGTCACAACTGGGGCAGGAGCAGCAACCACGGCGGCAGGAGCGGTGTAGGCCAGAGGAGCGGAGTAGGCCAGAGGCGCAGTGTAGGCTAGAGGAGCTCCCAGGAGTCCTGGCTTGGCAGCGGCACAGGCGACAATAGCGAGGATGACAACAGCCTGAAGATGGAAAAAAAATTAAATTACTTTATCCATGTTTTCTACGCCAAAAACTCACGGATTTGAACATGTTGATGGTGGTTTTGTTTTGATGTTTGCGGCTCGGAAACTTGAACTTGTCTGATATCATTGAACACCTCCTGCAGACCTATTTATACTCCGATGGTATACTGGAATGTGACCTCAAACCATTAGCTCAGTGTCCAATATCAGCTATTCCACTCTCAGCAGTGGGAAACCACATAAATAATGGTAGAGTGCGAATGGAAGCAAATGAAGATGAGTCCAGCATTTAAATGAAGGCAATGTGTCAGAGCTGAAGACTCTTTTTGGGTATAAATACACTCGGCCAGAGGTGGTGGATTATCAATCAGATATCAGCCTTCCCAAGAAGAAAACCAATCAAATTAAGTAAAGATGTTCAAATACGTAAGTTACTTATAGGAAGCTGGATATCAAGAAGTGGAAGTAAGAGTTACCTTTATTTTACAGGCCGTTGTTGTCCTCGCCATCGTTGCCTGTGCTGCTGCCAAGCCAGGACTTCTGGGAGCTCCTCTGGCCTACACTGCGCCCTTGGCTTACTCCGCACCCCTGGCTTACCCCGCTCCTGCCGCCGTGGTTGCTGCTCCTGCCCCAGTTGTCACCGCCACCAGCAGCCAGGTGATCGCCAGGAACTACAACGGAATCGCAGCTGCTCCAGTTGTTGCCCCAGTGGCAGCTCCAGTGATCGCCAAGTACGCCGCTGCTCCGATTGCTGCTCGCCTGGCTGCTCCTGTGGCTACTCCTTTTGCTGCTCCACTTATTGCCAAATACGCCGCAGCTCCCCTGGCTGCCCCTCTCGCTTACTCCTCTCCACTGCTGCTGTAAAGCTTCAAATTCTTAAATAAAGATGACAATGACTGACTACCCACAAAAAAAATGATTTTTCTTTTTTATTTGCTTATATACAATATTAAATATTTATTTTTGAAAAGAGTTGAGTCAAAGAATATAAGACCCTCTCTCTTGTATGGCAACTTATTTATGTTTTCAGAATTATTCCAAGTGTAGAGCCATAATCCTGGCAAATGCGCCCTGGGCTCGAGGTTATTTGTTAGTTTCGCGTTTCCGCTTATCTAGAACGCTTTCATGGCGCATTTCATGCATTGATGCACAATTTAAATGGCCATTTTTGCGTTGGCGCGTTTAGATAGAAGATGCCAGTTCTTTGCCAGCTGCCAGAAGGCAAAGGAAGCGCCCAAAAAAATGAGAATCCCCGGCATATGTTATCGCCTGACACGAGAATGAAAATCCGGCCCACATCCTCAAGGATTTGTGCGTTGGCGCTTGTCTTCGATTTCCGCAGGAACGTCAAGGGCGTTGGTGTGCCTTTAATTTGATTAGTCGTAACTTTTGATTAAAAACCCGAAAATTTCAAGGGAAAAACTACATTGCATACATAATAAATCCTACCTTCAAGATGAAAGTCACCTCAAAACCGAAATGTATGCGAGTGCAGCCAAAATATTAAAGCAAAAAGTAGATACGCGACGTTTGCGTCCACTCGTCTAAATAATTAAAAGTTCGCCCTTGCCCAAAGTCCACGCCTTCTTTTTTCCGTTGGTTACGTTTTTGTTTGCCATTTTTTAATTGCTGTTAATGGCAAAAACAAGCAAAACAGGACACAACGTCGTCTGCGGAAATTCGGTAGAATTTGAGGAGCGGGCAGGACGAAATTTCTCCCAAAGTTACACGGATTTTGCATTAAAAAAGAGCCCGCGCATGTCGAGACAGGACTTGCAATAAAAAATATATATTTTTGAAGTTAAAAAAGGAATTATTAAATACCCTAACAGAAAATCAAACCTAACAGAAATATATATTTTTTTTAAACTAGAAAAATTTTAGTTTTTTAGAAACCTTTTAACTTAAACCTGTTTTATACCTATTTCCCAGAGAGAGGGATTTCCAATTTAAAGAAATCTAGATTTTTATAAATTAAATTTATAATTTATTCATGTTTTAATTTGAATCTTTTTTTTTGTAGAAAGGGTATAACAAATGTGAAGGCCAGAAGCAAAGATAAAGTTACTACGACTGAACAGCAACCAGATTCAGATTCAGAATCTGCTGCCTTTACATCCAAACGACCCGGAACAGGACGAAAAGCAAGACCTGGTACTGTAACAGTACCAGGGACCAGTACCAGGGAGCAGTACGAGGACCTAGTTACAAAAGTTTATGACTTGTTTATGTTCGTTGCTGTGCCCCTCAGCTTGCTGTTTGTTTGCTTGTCGGTATGTGCTCTCTGCTTTCTGCTGGCTGTTAATTTTGTTTGCCGACAAGGCGCAAAATGGTTGAATAATGGCCAGCCGACATTTCGCTTTATGTTTGACTTGGCTGCAACACGAAATCTGATGCAGGATGCTTCAAAAAAACAGGACTACAACATCCGGAATATGTTGGCTAAGATTATTTTCTTGTTAGCCATTTAATTTGATAATGCAAAAGGATTACCGGAGTTAACAAGGTGTAATGTCTAATTAGTGTGTTTTAAATTTACATAAATTTGACCTTTCTGTGCATTTTTAGGAAATTCGGCGTAATTATAACTAGAGTAGAGAGCTTTCTGTCTGCTTTTTTATTAATTTCCCTGGAATATCTAGAGTTTAGAATATATTTATCCTTTTCAGTTAATTAGTTTTATATATTTAGATACACCTAATTAAATTTTTCTTCCGAAATCCAATCTGTGCAAGCCACTTGCAAAATTCCCTGGAAAATAAATTCCATAAAAACTTGGCTAATGATCCCAGACAAAGGCCTATCTTGGGCCTTATGCTTTTCGGCCACGTCCAGGGATAAGAAGGAGGCGTGTGTATCCTCCTCGTCGGCCTATCTATATGGCTAATTAGGCTAAACAAATTATGGAATATGATTAATAGAGAGCACGGGCTGGCAATTAACTTTTTGCGATAAATACAATGGAATATATATAGGCGCAATATATATGCGTATAAATTAACGTGCCGTGGAATTGCAGGAATCCAGATTTATTGACCCCGCCCACAAAAGACAAACTGGCCCCGGGGGGCTGTTTTGAAGGAAGGATTCGTCCTGCGATTTAACAATTCACGTTGTGACATTTGCATTTTTGATTGCCTTAATATTTCTTGCAATGCTTTTGGCTTTTGTTTATGGCCAACACCGTCCGTTGCGGTAGGTGTTTCAACCACCCTGAACCGAAAAAAAAATAACAGCCATCAGAAAAAGTTAAGACTCTGGAAACGTGTCGTGTAAATTAAAAAGGTTTTGGGTGTTTTCGGTTTACCGTTTTGCCAAAAAAAAAAAAAAAATGATTTGCCAAAGGTCATCGAGACTTTAAAATTTTCCCAGCAAAGTTTTATGCTAATCATTATGGGATTTTTTGGGCGTGACAAGGTCTAATTATTTCGGGTTTTGGTCAGCTCATCGGACTTTTTTTTAAATCGGAGTCAATGTCATTTACTTAAAATGCCACCAAGGGGAAAAATTCAATGAAAAGGATTCTTGTTTTTCAATGGGGGATTAAATATGTGGTAGAAGTTCAAGCAACCGAAGACAATGGACCTGTGTATTATATTTCCAGGCAATTGTTTATGGAGTCCCCCGAATTCGAGAAGCACAGGAGGCATTTCTTTATTTTCGGTGGGGAGATTCGTGCTCAAGTGGCGGCCAACATTAAAATAAAGAAAGCGCCGCATGATAAAAGGAAAGGAAAAGGCGAATCCCTAGCCGCAGGGGCGAAAACTCCCACACACAGAGGCAGATTACTCCAAAGGATTCCGGACTCCGGATAGAGGCCTCGGGACTTCAGGACTCGAGGAGTGACGTGCTTGGCGCTGCAACATCAGTAGCAGCAGCACTTAACCTTGGCTGTATACCGAGGACACGGCACTCGAGTTATGAATTAAACCCTGCGACGAATCCTCCTACGAACCATGCTTCGAGTCCTTCCCGCTGAGATAGGTATCTCCCACACATTCATCTCTGCATCTCTGCGAAAACTTTAACCCAAAAGGCTCAAAGGACTAAATGTGGCTCTCTGGCATTGGAGCGAAAGCTTTACGTTGCCTATTTTCCATTCAGCAAATGCTCTTAGATGAAAGCTTTCTCCCAAGAGTTGGGCTAGAGAAAGTCACAGAGAATATTTTGGAATATTATATGGGAAATGTTTGTGGGGTTATCAAATTTATTATGAGTTCATTTTTAAAAATTGACTATATTAATTACTGAGAAAACACAACTTTTGATAGTTATTTTTTTTATTTTTAATAGATTGCTTCTTGTAAAAATTTATAATTATTGGTATTATTGTATTATTAAATATTTATATTTTATGTATTATTTCTTTGGTGTTTTTTGTACCAAAAAGTTATGGTGGATGGTTTTTACTTACCACCATTCCCCCCAGCGAATTGGAACATCGTGTCTGCCTGTAGTTGTTTAATTAAAAATAATTACTTTAAATAATAATTACTATTTAATTACAAATAACTATAGTACAATTAATATTTGTTGCACCACAAAGTTAATTATTTTTGGGCTCTTTTTTGGGTTCGAGTATCCGATAATTGGCTGTAATAAGGTAAAGTTTTTGGAGCATTTTGTCTGCCTCCGCGGTGGTCATGGCAAAAACGTGGATCATTCCCGACTCGTGGACCCGGGCAGCCACTCCAGGCATTGTCTTGTCTACATAGTAGACATAGTGCATGTCGGACTGGAGAGGCTCCGAGCCCAAGGAGTATGCGTCGCTGAATGGAGTAAGACCGATCCCCCAGGGATAATAGGCTACCGACACGAGGCGCAAATGGAGCAGCTTGTGGGCCGGTGTGGCCTTGAAATTAATCTGACCCGTTAGCTTAAACATTAGCTCCCGTTGGGTTTCGGCCAGCATGTTCGGGCCCCTACTATTGATGATCATCATGGTGCCATTGGACCAAATCCAGGCTATCTGGGTGGCCACAAAACGCTTTTGGATCACATCGATGTCGGTGCTATAGATAGAATTATCCAGCCGATTGACAGCTGCTTTAAGGATAATGTTTCGGTTTAAATGTAGAGTACAGAACATCTTGCAGAATCTCATCTCGATGCGTAGACGGAGGTCCTCCACTTTGCGTTTAGTGGGACGTCGAAGAATCCTGATCTTCGAGAGACATTTATCCAAGTGCGCTGGGAGCGGTGGCAGGATCAAGGAGCGCCTCAAGTTCTCGGCGGACTTGCAGCCAAACTGCTGGTCCCACTGAGTGCGCAGTTTCTTGGCATGCGGATCCCTGAACTCTGTCATATTTTGATCGATGATGTCCTCAAAGTCCTCGAGACGCACTCGGAAGCTATTTTGCCAGCCATTCTCTGGAATAGGATTCCGTTTATTTGCTTGATTTCCTTCAGAGGGGGCTTTTAGCTTCTCCATGCTAATGGCAGTCTCAAAGTCGACGGCTTCCGGTGCTGTGGAGCTTTGCTGGGGCATAGACCTATTCTCGGCATTGATAATCGCCTGCAGCTGCTGCGAAACAGTAACGCTGCACTTCTGCAACCATTCCTGGATGGCACCCTCGTCCTGCGGCTTGGGCGGCACCGGTCCTATATCCTTGACATCCAAAATGATGGGTCGTTCTGGTCTGTAGTCCTCAACAGGTAGCTTATACCCATCTTCATTTGGTTCCCTTTTGACAAATGGCAAAGTAACATCAGACATAAATGGTACAGTAGCTCCAGGCACAACGTCGTCATCATCCATTGGTTCCGGTTTGATATCCGGAATGTACATCATGGGTACTACTTTCATTACTGGGTATATGGGCATAATTGGATCCACGGGTTCTTTCGGAGGAAGTTGTTTTCTGACCTGCCTTACAACATTTCTTTTAATGTTGGGGTTAAAAATATTATACAGAAGATTATGGCGTTTGGGATAGTCCTTGGCGACATTTAAAAGAAAATCGAAATCATTTATGTCGCTTAAGGGTTCGGTTAGCCTCTCCGTTTTGATCCATTCCCTCAAGGCACGGGCCTCATCCGGCCCGATCTCCATAGAACTCATTGGCATTTCCACAACCTTTTCTCTTTGCTTGTTGTGGCTCTCTATATGCCTTTGCATATCCCATTCCTCCCAATCGAATAATTCCTCACCTGCAGGATCCAAAGTGTCCTTTGAGGCGTCCTCCTTCTCAGGCTCTTTCTCAGGCTCCTTCTCAGGCTCCTTCTCAGGTTCCTTCTCAGGCTCCTTCTCAGGCTCCTTCTCAGGCTCCTTCGCAGGCTCAGGCACCACGATTGATTGATCGACGTTGTGCTGACCACCCACTAAACAAATTGGCCATTCCGCTTTGGAAATGGGTACCGAATCTCTTTTTGCCTTCATGTAGATATCCACAAGGTCTTGTGAGCTAGGAAGATCCAGTAAGTGATCTAAAATTGATCTTCGTATCGGCGAAATGGGACGAAACTTCTGGTCCATCAGCCAATCCCACTCGATGTCTCGACCACTCGACTTTTTAATGGTTTTCTTGATCGCTGGTTTTTTTATGGTCTTGCGTGGCTTTGGAGGCGGTTTATCCTTAAACTTGGTTGGCAAGCGACGAGGCTTTACCACCCGATGAGTGCTTGTCGGTTGCCTATGCTTCCAGTCGGGTATAACATGCGTAGGCGAGTCCTCGTCGAGGCCAAAATTGAGCACCACACCGCCAATGGAGTATTTATTTGGAATTGGGTTAAACATTGGGGCACTATAAGGTATTATTTTAGAATAAAATAATAATTATAATAATAATTAAGCTTTAATCTTACCAAAGTATGGGGTTTATGTAGGTATCTACTGGCTCTTCTTTGGGCTTCAGTAGGCTAAAATAAGAAATTCTTGAAAGACATTTTATAATTCTTTGAAAGACATTCAACAGGTTATTAAATTTAAATATGTATACACATATTTATAGTACCAGAAAAAAAATACCTTAAGATGACTCAGCAAGATGAGTCTTTTGGCTCTTCTATTAAAGATTAAATAAAATTCTTATATTTATTTTATTTATACAAACTAAATTTTCTTTATCCTTACCAATCATATTCGACAGCATTTTTCGGGCTTGAGCTTGTTTTGCTTCTCTTAGTGTACTTTCGTTTGGGTTTCTTCTCAACCGATGGTTTTATTGCAAAAATGGATGGCCCTTCATCGTCTTCATATTCATCCGCTAATTCGGCCTTCTTTTTATCTTCCAAGTCCAACTCCTTGAGGACCTCTTCATTAAACAAATTCTTTATGTACTCTTCATCTGCGTCAGATTCGGACTCCGAAAGGTCCAGGATAATGGGTTCAATGGTTTTCGGTTTATCAGGCACGGGCTTTGGTTCCGGCTTGACTTTTCTTGGACGCGGCATTTTGAAAAGAAGACTAATTAAGATTTTTATGCAGAAAGAAGTTTTTTGTATGTATATTAGTAATATTTTGCACGTGACGACATGTCAGAACTTTTCTCTTCACAAAATGACAGATCCGTGTTGGAAAATCCTTTTAGTGTTGGGTACTCGTAATTAAGGGGTTATATACCTTTTTTATTTTCAAAAAAACGAAAATTTTTTTAGTGGTTTATCTTGAAGAACAACTCCTTGAGAACATTCTCCCAAATTTTCATAGAGATTGGAGCAGTAGAAAAAAAGTTACAGCGCTCCTAATCGCACGCCTCGTTGCGGCCTTGAACTGATCTTGAAACTTTAAACGCGAATATGTCGAAATGGTGTTTCTTGAAAAATGACTTTGCGGTGACATGGATTGGCGGAAAACTACTGAACCGATTTACTTCAAATTTTTTTAAAATGTTCGTAATGAAATTCTCTTGTGCTTGAACGATCGACTTTTCACGCGCAAACTTTTTTTTCGGCGAAATAAATTTTTTAAAACATTTTTTTTTTTTTTTTTTTTTTAAAACGCTGCCATATCCAAACAAAAACAAAAAATTTTAAAATCGATCGTTCAAGCACAAGAGATTACTCTAAACTAATGAAATATTTTTACTTTTATGGTTTAAGTTGACCTGTTTGACCTGGGGAAATGTCACCGCAAGGCTCTAAAAAAAAAAAGGCCTCTAAGGGAAACAGCCACCCCTTAAAAACTATTTAATATTTTTCCACCAAATTTTGCACAAACATTGTTAATAAAGTGTACTATCAAAAAATTAAAACATCCGTGTAATTAAATAATTGCTACATACCTAAAAAAAAAATCCGAACTTTGCTCATTTTCTTCGACAAAGAAGGTATATAACCCCTTAAAGCCAAAATATACCAGAAAAAAACCATATACTAAAAGATCAGTAAGAGCTTAGCCATACGTCTGATTCTGATTCTGAGTGTCTGATTCACGATGATACGAAATCATTTGGTTTATTTATTTAATCAAGACATAGTAAAATGTGAATTTTTTATTTTAAAATTGTTTTAGTTTCCTCTGATATATTGAGTCTACTTTCGGGGATAATACTTTTATTTAAAGGAAACTGCATTGGGAATTGTGCAAAAAGTATCGCATACTTTTAGAGCTGATTGTGGGCCCATACAAAAAACGATCAAAAATTAAAAACTTTTCGGTTAACTCACTCCCAAAACTCCGGAGTCCGGATGGCTTTTGATTTGGCCACTTTTTCTTTTGCCGTTTGTCTTCAGGTAACACAGACACATGCACTTTACCCATATGAACCGAAATACAGAAACAGTCAGGTAGTTAAAACTTTTAAATTGCGGGCGGGGCTGGGATCATTTGTGATTTCTGCCGTCTGGGCGCAGCAAATAAAAAGCTGAAAAGTGGTAACAGAAAGCTGGGAAAACTCCAAGTTACAGGCATTGCAAAAGTGCTCTGTCACTGCTCATTTGTTGCTAATAATTATAAAAGTTTTCCCCAGACCACCCAACCCCCAGCTCTTCTATGAAGTGACATAAGTACCGAACAAATATATAGAAAAACACTTGCCAGACTATCTGTCTGATGGAAAAAGGGTAGCAAAAGTTTAGCTTACTAACGCTTCATTCACAATTGTTTAGTTTACAGAAGTTTTTTGTAGTATTTGGCTTTTTTTTCTTGTTATATCCAAAAATATTTGTAAAGTCCTTTTCAATGCTGATGCATTTAGCTCAGATTTCGCTGGAAATAGTTTTGCAGCCACGGCTCGGCCTAAAAGCCCGGAGTATTAAATTTTTATTTGCTTACTTCATAACAATAGTGGATTGGAATAGAGAGTGGTGTGGAGCGGCCTGGTGGGGTGGGTATCCTATATAAGTCATTTAGTTTGTGGACTTGGAGCATGGCCAGAATGCTTGGATGGCAAACAAGTCGAACAAAGCGAGCGCCAAATTGCCTTAAAAGCCTTTTCAAGTCAAAAGTTTTGCCTGTTTGCGCATAATTATTTAGCCATGACATAAACAAAAAACCAAGGAGCCCATAAAGTATTTACTGTAATGATTATAGAAATAAATGTTTTTATTTAGAATATTTAAAAAACCAGTATTAATTTATTATTATTCCCTGGGGCCATTGGTATGTTGATGATGGCGGTGGTGGGTCCGGATCGGGATCCATTTCTTCCTCATCTATATCCACCTCCTCCCTATCCGATAAATTGCCGTCCTCATCTCCGAACTTTAACCTTTCCAACAATTCCATTTGGGTCCTCAAAATGGCATGCACCACCAAAGTCCTTTCGATGCGTTCCCGGTACAGTAACTGGTGCAATTTTTGGTCCACCGGCTCTCTGGATCGAAAGGTCAACGACAGATGCTTTTGCATCTGCGCCTTGGGGCCGATCCTTTCCCGGTTGTATAGCTTCCGCCGGATGTTCTGCGCCACTGTGCGATTGTTCCGCTTGTAGCCCCTTTTCCAGTGGAACAGTTTCATGATAAAGTTGATGGCATCCGCGTATTCCACTCGTAAGAATTCCCAGTAAGTTATGCGGTGAATGTTCTTGCGATCCCTTTGGGTCTTGGCATCGGCCAGATGTCGCTCCAGCATAGACATAATCATATTAAGGAGCAGTGCTTTCACCACAAACCCTAGTACGGCGTAAAGTACAATCCCGAGCCATCTGCCGCAAACTATGAAATCGCGCAGGGCAATACTGTAGCCGAAAGAAAAGCAGGTCACTGAAATAATACCCGCCTTCAGGTTGGCAACGGTCGGTGAAAAGTTGCCATTCGTGATGACTGCTGAGGTGCCGATAGACATCATGAAAATGACAGTCACGATAAAGGTGGAGATCAAGGTGCCTCCGGCCCGGCTGAGGGTTTTGTTGAACAGCTGAAATGACCTCGCAAACTGCATCACTCGCCACAGACGCATAGTGATCAGGGCCACCGTAAAGCCCAATATAACGTACACCACATCGTTGAACCGGAGTGGCCTGTGAAAGTCTACAAACTCAACATTCACCGAATTTTCCAGTTCACGGATCATCTTGGCGACCAACTTATCCCGCCTCGCCATGGCTGCCACAAGCAGGACACTGAGCGTCAAGGTTATCGCATCCAGCTTGGTCCAAATGTTGCGCAACCGGGACGGCTCGAACCAGACCTTGACGAAAAACAATTTGGCAAATTGCAGCCAGCAGATCAGAAATATAAACAAGACAGCCATGCCAAAAGCCGAGAAGTCACGCATCCTTTCCACGAAAACGACACTGTCCACCTCCATATGGGTGACACTCGACCCGAAGGGGAACTGCTCCAGCCACAGTGTGCACACGCTGAAGACATTCCCATCCGCATTGTACAGGGTAAAGTCAATGAACAACGCAGACGTGTTTCGATCCAGCCAGTTCTTCCTCTTCAGGTACCTCATAATTATCAGACTCTTGTTCCGGCTATCTGACAGGGTGTTCTGGTATCCGATCGACTCGGGATAGCTCATGAAGTGACCGTAATGGTTGATCCGAAACAAGATGTGGTCCATCACAGTGGACTCGCGCATCACCCAGGGCTGATGAATTTTCCAGAACTTGTCCGTATAGGATTCCCTTGCATATGGCAGTTTCCAGCCCTCGGAGTAGTCCTTCTCATCGAATTCGAGATCTTCCAAGCCCACATGCCGGTCAAGGGCTCTCAACTGCCGCAATCTCGCCAAGCCCAGCATTTTTGTACCCTCAGCATGGGCCCAAGGAGCTGCTCCACCGCTATCTGACTGATCCGTGAACGCCTTTATTATGGAGGTCTCAAGAAAAGGGTATATTTTGGGCAGGACGAACACGTTGGACAACCCAACCGTGCCACTATGATTACGTTCAAAGAGATCCTTGGTAATTGTGTTGTTATAGTAGAGCAGATTATCAAAGATGACTAATACGAAGATGAGCATGACCAAAAATAATCTTCCAAAGATTAGCAGCTCTGCAGTAATCATTCTGTATTTCACGTTGAGCTTCTCATACCGATGCCTTTCCGAGATCATCAATTGACTTTTTAAACTCTGGAGCTCTCTGCGCAAGTTTCCCATCAAAGTCTCGACTCTGGCAGTGGCATCGGTCGTTATGGTAGCATGATGGGCTGGCCACAGGGCTAAATCGAGTGCTATAATGGCAAATCGAATGGGTACTACAATCACGATCTGGACCAGGCACACCGCCATAAACACTATCATCATCTTGTTCACCTTGACAGTCTCGTGCGAAAATCCCGAGAACTTACAAATGCAGAAGACACACGCAGCTATTATGAAGAACGTTAGGAAGAATATAGCATTACTATCTTTTGCTTGGACCATCTTGGAACTACAATACTTTCTTTCTTTTATTTGGAATGTGGACTTAATATGAACGACTACTTTGATTAAATCCTTTTTATTTTGTCAGCTGCCTGCCACTCCCCAAAAACCCATGAAGTAGTCACCTGTTTTTCCCGCAGCTTCAGTAGTTTTCAGTTGCCCCGACTGGCTTTAATTTCTCTCCTCTGCTGGTTGTTAGTTAACCTTGCTGGTTTCTGCCCTTGTCGGGTGCAAGCCGTGTACAAATTATTGTGCTATCAGTGGCACCTCAATGGGCTTCCAGCAGTTGCCACTTAGGGCAGCCGACAGGCGCAGCTGCAGCTCCACCACAAACCATCCACCACTTCCATGCCCCACACGGATGTTGCAGCACCCGTCTCTCTGTGAGTTCTCGGAGCTTGGGATGGCAATAAAATTCCTAAACCTTTTTTGACAAATGAAACGTGCAACAAACAAGACGCCCAAGCAGCTGCAAGCGGCAAAGCAATCCGGACGAGTCCTTAGCCAGCCAGGATAGAGGTCCTGGGACCCTGAAAACGGCAGACGGGATCCGGGACTGAGCCCGGCTCGAGTGCCAACAAAGATTTATGCATTTTACAGGGCAGACTACGCTTTATGCGAAACTAAACGGCAAACAGTTTGAGTGAGGAAAGCTTTCACTCTCTCTACACTGCAAGAAATATTCTAGTGTTCCCGCATACCAAATATCTCAATGAAAATAATCCTTGAAATATCCTTTTTCTGAGTGCTGCACTTCAGTGCTCTGTGCTAAAGCGGAAATGAAGCATCACATGCACCATGCCCCACTCGGATCCGGGTTCCTGGGGGGCGAGGAAGTCTATTGTGCCTTTTAATAGACTGAACTACACAGCTTCCGAGCCTGAGCCCCGGCATCCTGGCACTTTGTTTGCCGGCAAACATTTGTGCAGCTTATTAATATGCACGCCCCGCACCCACTCCCTGCCTCTGTCCCGTTCAGATTAGCTGGAAATGCAGGTGTGGGCTCTGAATTTCACTCCGGCCACTCCGGCAATCGACAAATTTTATCTCCTAGGCCAAGCCAGAAAGTTTTCGCTTCTCTCCGGTCCGTATCGAAAAGTCGTTAGTAAGCTGACCGCAGAAAGATGTGAGGCGAAAGTGCAGTCGGACATCGCAGTGGGCTCAGTTGAAACTTCAGGTCTTTCGTCTCAGTCGCAATCGGAGCAAAAAATGCCCAACTTTGCCCTAAGACTTGCACTTAGCCCGCACAAAAGTTTCCCTGCCATTGGCCAACTTTTTCCACTGAGCTGCCCTGGTGATGAAGCCTCGGCTAACACTGAGGTTGAGGCTGAAACTGAAGCTGAAGCTTCGGCCAAGCCCTAAGTAGATTTGTGGACCCCGGCATATGTCTCAGTTCCGAGGGTGGAGCTCCATAAGTAACTGCATAATAGGGTTAATAATTATGCTAGTCTGGGAAGCAAGGGCCTGGAATGATCAAATTTATGAATGTGGAATCCCAGAGCTCCCTCAACTAGCTCGAGAGCCGAGATATTTATGATTTGATTAAGCTCTAGTGACTGGGAGTGATGAAGAATTCGTCGAGTAAGTCATATGACAGAAGGTGAGGAAAAATAATAAATTATAGCCTAGTGTTTCTGTGAGACGAATGGCTTGCCTTAAACATAAAAACTTAGTAGTATTAGTATTACAAATAATTTATTTCAGATTACTCCCCTGGTAACCACCATTTTCTTTAAACTTATTAAATGGGTGCCCACATGGCGTATACTTATTCCCAAGAGCAGCTCTTTCGTCTTTCACACCACCATTAATCATCAAAGCAGAACAAGCTGTAGAACACATGCAGTTATAGATTTGTCCGACACCCACTCACACTTTGAAGCTACCCCCACCCCCACCCACCGGAAAATCAAATTAAACTAAAATTAAACGCAACAAGAAACACAAACACAAACTATGAATGCAATCGGGGATTGCCCGACGCTCTATGTACGCCCTTTACATACACTGGGGATTCGTTTATTTTTTGGCAAACATACAACATATGCGTCCCGTTGACAAATAAAGTTTACAGATATGGCCAGGGGGTGGTGAGGGGGAAAACTGACACTCGGAGTGGAGGAAAAACTGGTGGAGAGAAATGGCAACGCACACGAGTAAACAATGGGCCACAGAAGGGCGAGCAGATGGTTAGAGGGGCCCAAAGAAATTGTCGAGGTGGAGCAGCTCCCCAATGAAATAGTTTATGGTAAACCGCAATGCGAAAAATGTCACCTCCTGGCAAAAATGAGCAAGCCGAGGGAGTGTGGCTGGGAAATGGAAATGGTAGTGGCAGTGGCAGTGGAGATGGAGCTGGCAGGGAAGATTCAAATGGAGTCTCCGAACGGAGTATGGAGCATCCAACTGGCTAAACAAGTGCGGAAGTTGTTTGCGTTTGCCGCTGGCAAAGGCCAACCGGAAGCGGCCTATTGGGCAATGGCAGTGACAGCAGTCGCCTGTCGCCACAGACCGGAAATGAGTCAACTTGGCTGCCACATGGGGCGTGAAAGAAGTCGCCGCCGACTGACAATATCCGACACCGAACACCGAGCTTGGAATGTGGATCGAAGCACCAGATAAAAATCTATATTTAAAAATTCTATAAATTACCCAAAACGGGTTAGTTCATTTATTAGGCTTAGGCTAAACGATTGACTTAACTAAGTGGTTGCGGCTTACTAAAGTGAGACTTGTGGCAGTCCCGTTCCCTGAGACGAGTAGCACCTGAAGGATTTTTGTATTCTTTTGCTTTTCTCTAACAACTAAACATTTTTGGAGGCTCATGGCCCTCGGAGGGGCGGCTCTGTGAAGGCCTGATTTCGAGATTGGCAGCGATTGGCGTCCGCTTCCGTGGGCACCACATCCTTGGCAGCGGCCAGCAGCTTATCCAGAGGGCACTGGAAGTCACAGCCAGGTACGACGAGTTTCTGGGCCGGAGCCTTCGGATCGTTGCGGAAGTAGATCTCCACCCAGTAGTCACCAGTCTCCTTGTTCTTGTGCAGTTCGAAGAGAATCATCGAGGAGTACCGCGGCAGTTGGCGCTCCCACACCTTCAGGGCTGCAAGAATATTCACGACCGTGGAATCATGGCCTGTGTAGATGAATAGCTTCCTGCCACTGGGCTTCAGAGTTCCATTTCGCTTTGCCTGCATTTCGTCAAACATTTTCTTGAGAAACGGTCCACCCTTGATCTTCTGCATCTCCGGAGTGTAGACATTATAGATGTAGCTCTGCTCGGCTAAGAATTGCATCTTTTCAGGGAAATACTCGTGCGTCCATTCGGGCAGCTCTAGACCCCATTCCTGCTCCGCCAGCAAGGTCAAATAGAGCGATTGCACATCTTCGGGCTCCTTGAAACTCAGACCCGTGTGCTCCTCCAGTTCCTTGAACATTTCCAGGTACGGCTCGATTTCCGCCTTCACCTCCGGGAGTTCATAGACCTCGTTCAGTGCCTCGAAATATCGCGGACAGGGAGTTCGCACAAGGAGTAGCTGGAAGCAGGAATGTTAATGTTATAATTTACGAACATGTATAAAATAATCAATATCCCTATCTTAATCGGTTGCTTTGATTAATCATCTCAAATATCAAGTATACGTACCGTATCCTGATTCAGCTCCTGTGAGAAGACAGGTATGGGCTGCCAATTAAACCGACTGTTCCACTCCATGTCGGTTCCTTTCGGTGGAAAGAAGGCGGCCAAAACGGTCTGCATGGTCATGTGAGTCCTTGGCACACCAGTCGCCTGGGCATAGACCGACTTTGGAGGTGAAAGCCGAAGAAAGCGGAGCACGGAGAAAGCGGTGAAAGTAGAAGGGCGAAAAAGAGCAGAAGGAATTGAGTGATGAGCCGGGCGCGCTTGAGCTTTGCAATTTGTAAACGTCCGCACTATCAGGCAACCGAGCCAAGAACGTGTTGGTGTCGGTACACAGAGAGAAAACTATATTCTTTTAATTTTATTAAATACTAACAGTAAAGTCTTCAAATAGTATTTGATAGTTTCAAGCCTTTAAATCATGGAATAAAATATTTTTGAGGAATACAAGCTTTTTAAATAATTTTCTCTCTGTGCATAGTGTGCGGGGTGTTGTGTTGTGTGTCGTGTCGGTTCGTTAGTGACTGCTTACTCACATCGGGACTGTAGTGGGGCGCCAGAAATTTGCCATAACGCTTACGCAGCCAAGTACCAATGTTGAACAGCTCGCGTTTGCCATTCTGGAGCGTTGATTTATTGCATGGCATGAGCGGATGGCACGTGAGACAACACCAGAGCAGCGAAACGGGGAATCCGAATCCGAGAAAACAGAAATTCAGAGCAAAGTCCGAGGCAGAGACAGAGACAGAGATGGAGGGAAGTGTTATAAAATAATAAATGCCTTGCATTTTTGCAATTGCATAAACATATGCATGTGTATATGTTAATGCAGCTATACCCAGTCACCGTCGTCATCCCCGCTTATCCCAGCCCTTAATCCACATCACCCATACATACGTACATACATACATACATGATGTCCCGTCCCACTGCAGTTCCAGCAAAACATTTGCATTTCAATTTATTTAAATGCTCTGCTGGCTAAGAAGGACTCCGGGGGATGAGAGGAAATAGGGTTCCTTTTTTTTGGGGGAAGAGAGAGCCAGGACGAGATGACGAGGCAAAAGTTTTCACTGCACAACTTTTTCTCTACTCACATTTGTTATTTGTCCCCAGCCAAATGGATAGTAGGTCTCATTTACATATGGATCCTTTGGATACGTATCCGCCGGCGTTCGTGGTCCGTGTCGGAATACCTGCAAGTTTAGCAATTACAATTTTTATTAGTCAAACGGATTCACCACATGCTCAGGCAATATGCATGCACGATTCATATGTATTTTTGTCTCCGTCGATCAATCCGAAACACTTTTATTAGCCAACAGTTTGTGCCTGTTTTTGAGGCAATAATAGCTAAGATAGATACTGTTTTAAGGTTACTGAACCTCAAGTAAAATTTAAATAATATTTCTAAAAATAACAACTAATTTTTGTAATCATAAAAGCTTATATAACTCAGCACGCGACTTTCATATGATTTATTTATGTGAAACTCATGCTCGTGCGACCCACCAGTCAAACACAACGTATTATTTTTGCGGAAGTACGTATTCTCCTCAAATACCCCACTGATAAGACGGCGTCTCATTGGAAGGTCAGCTATGAAATCTGGATTGAACTATCTGCCCGTCTATCTCTGAAATAAAATTCATTTTCACGACTGTGGTAAATGGGTTTCCAGTTCATCAATCGTACGCCAGCGGGGCTCAAACAAAAAACAAACAAAATCAGCAAACAAATGTGCGTCGCAGTTTTATAATTTCATTTTACGATTCAGTGCAGACAGGTTTTTTTTTGTTTTTTGTGCAAACTGTAATTTGGAAGCCGGTTTTTCGTTTTGGCTTTATTTTCATTTCTGATTTGTAATTAATTTTTTTTGTATCGCGATTTTGGAAGATTTATTTGTGTGTGTTGAAGCTTACAAACGTCTTGAAGTAAAAGTTATTTTCGATGAATATATTAATTATGCGGGTTAATACAGGTTTATTCAAATCACTTTGTTATCTTATAATAAGACCCTTAATGACAGAAAAACTTGAATCATGTTGTTGGTCAATTTTAGGAATTATTCTGTAGGTTTTTGGATTGGTTCTGCAGCGTTTTCAAACAGACTTTAGCCAAGGTCAGAAAAGCTTTGTGTAAGAAACTCACTTTAAACAGAAATTAATGTATATGTATTTCAGCTTTGAGAAATATTTATTTTCCGCCTGGCTGCATCTAATTTTTTTTTTGCCAAGTGTACTTCATAGCAATTGCTGGTATGCATATTATTTAATTGATTAAGAATCAGAAAAGTGACTCAAACAGCTGATACAACCCAGGCAAGACTTCTGGAAATACCTCATTTTATATTTATAAGAAAAAAAGTTCACTTTCCGTTAAACAAGTCTTATCTGTCAACTCACCGACGTGCTACTAAATTATAGTACAATTAATTTTTACACCAGTCTACAAAAAATATGCCTGCGTTTGCACATTGGCTTAATATGTTTATAAACATTTGCTTTATCAACAGAATGTTTGGTTTTTTTTGTTTCCCTGCCTACGTAAATGTCAATGCCAGGGAATTTCTCCATGGCGTATACACAATTTTTTGACTCAATTCAGTAATATGTGTTATCAGCTGTTTTTTATTCCTATTATTTTTGTTTTTATTTGTAAAGACGAGATCTGCTGACTATGAAGTATTATATGGGGTGTTAATTGCTATGCTATTTTTTTATGATATGTAATATCTCGATAAAAAAATGATACTTTGTGCCTGAATTACTATTTTGTAATCATGTTTTTTATACCACTCTGGTGCTGTTTTAGGAATTTTAAGCTGTCACAGATTTTAAAATATAGCGAGTTTATGACGAAAAATTTATTATTTTAACAGATCTTCGCAGATTTTGAAGGTTACTTTTTAAGGAAGGATAGATTTTGAAGGATAGATTTAATTTTGTATAATGTTTACTAACTAAATCATTCACTTTTTTTGTTTTTCGCTAGCACACCACTCTACCGGAATGTGTAATTGCCACAAAAGTTACGTCCGTACAGCTGGTTTTTTTGTTCCGGATCACAGTATCACTGACTTACCACATGCAGCAGCTCGAGCGTGGATTTATCAGTCCCCGGGTCGTAGAGCTTGGCCGTAGACTCCATCGTCGAATGGGCGAAGCACCAGATCAGCACCGCCGATGCAATTAATCCGCCCGTCATCGCTAGACAATGCCTTCTAGTGAAATGTGAACGCGGCATTTTGGTGGACCTTTTATATACCCGTAGTATTCTCGGATTCTCCGACTTGGTTTTGGCTTTGATTTTACAGCTTTTTTTTTTGTTTTAGTCGGTTTGAGGAGCTGGCCAGCAATCTCAAGACAGATCAGAGACTAACTTGTTATATTCGCTCTTTGCTTTATCGTTATATATTTTATTTTGTGTTTTGTTTGCTTTTTGTGGGTCTATTAATTATGCCAAAGGGAACTGGTTTCTTCTGGCACTACGTTTAATTTATTTCTATAAATTTCGCTTATTTTTCCTAGTGTAGTAGAGTTCTACTATCTTCTATTTGACTTCGAGGCGAACCCTAAATATTTCAATATTGGTCTTTCGATAGCCGAATCGGAGGTCTTCGCACGCGACTGTCTTTGTGTAGTATCGCCGGTAAAATACTACTGAACGATATCATTGCGAAAAGTCGTCGAATAGTCAAAACAGAATGAGTGTATGACTCTTTTATCGTTCCATTATCACCAAATGCTTTCGTCACCGTCGCTCTTTTATTTATTAGTATTATTGTTAGTGTTATTGTAGGTGGAAAAATGTCTATTGTATGTGTGTGTTTGAACGACCCACCGACCAAACCAAACGACCGACCGATTGTTGAGAAGCTATAGAAGCCTATATAGCCCTGGCACCGACTACAATGCCGAAGCGTTTGAAGCGTTTTTAAACGCGCCCGCGACTTTTAATTTATATGAACTCTCTGTAGTCGGATTTGCTCCGCTTATTACTTGATTTAAATTCTTTTTTTTCGTTTTTTTCCTGGAGAATACCAGTACCGCCCCCCAGCTTTTGACACCAAATATATTTGTCATCGAAATTGCGTATGCACTGGAGGTAATAAATCGTACTGCTTCTTGACCGCTCATTATGCTAATTTAACATTATCCATATTGTGGCTGCTGGGTTTCGTTGTTTAATTGCCGAAATTATTTGAAAATATCGCATTTCGGGGCTTGGCTGGTTTGGTTTATGGTTTCGTCATAGTCCGGAAGCTTTTGTTGAAAGTTAAAAGTAAATTACAAATCACACACTGCCCTTTTGTTTGAATTTATTTTTTGCCTTATATGATTTACTTCCGAATCGACTGAGTGGAGCCCCAAATGCCAACTGTTCGACTTTAAGTGAAGCTTGTCTCATTTTATAAGATGGATGGGGCATCCAAGGGAGAGGGTTGATTAAGATGTAATGTGTTTTGTTTTGAAGGGTTTTGTTGAAATATGCAAAGGGAAAAATGTCGAGCTTTTAGAAAATAGTGAAACAAAAGTATTAGAGTTTAAAGCTTTTAAAAAATGAAGTAATGAAAAATGTATGTATTTATTTGCATTTTTTATTTTTTTAATAAGATTATCTTAATTGACTAAGGCACTAACTTCATTTAATTAAACTAGACGTAAGCCTGAAAGTATGCCTACAAAAAATTTTGTTCTATCTGGAACTTTACTAATATTAAAAAAAGGTTGTTTCATAAAAGTTCTATGATTTAAAAACAGTTTTAGACTTCCTGTGAAATATATTCTCAAAACTTCTGAAACGGCCCTTTAATTTATACCAATTTCTATAGCTTTTAAACCAATCTCAATAATAATTAAAATTTAGATTAATAGATCTTATCCCCAACACGCCAATCTATTAAAAAGCAATTTAAAAATTACATCAAATAGCTAGAGATATTTATTGTTTACATAATCTTAATACTGCACACTGGATAAGTAATCAGTTATAGACTTCAATGGTAAGTTATCTTTGCTCCATTCAAAGTGCCCTTTGCTTTGCACAGATCCTTGTAAGGCGCATCGGGTAGAACGTCCTTGGTTAGTTCCACAAACTTCGAGATCGGGCACTGCTTCTCACATCCGGGAATTTGGAGCTGTTTGGGTTCTTGGTCTGGATCGTTTTGGAAGTACAGCTCCAGGAAATACTCCCCAGTTTCTTCATTCTGATGAAGCTCGAAGGCTATTAGAGCAGAGAAACGGGGCATTTTTGCCTCCCAAACATCCAGAGCTGATAGGACGTTGGTGATGGTCCAGTCGTGACCGCAGGATAGGAACATTCTCCTATCAGCTGGTTTCAACTTTCCCGACATCTTTGATTGGATTTGATTTAACAGAAATTCTAGGAAATATCCGCCTTTTAGTTTCCTCATTTCGGCGGTGTAGGCATCGTAAACATAAGACAGCGAAGCCAAGGGAAGCATTTTTTCAGGATAATAGTCCTTAGTCCATTCCGGTAATTTTAGGCCATAGGTTTGCTCGGTTTGCAGGGAAATGAAAATGTTGGTAACATCATGGACGTGGGACACATTCAGACCGGTATGGTCACTCAGTTCTTGGAGTAACTGGGAGTTTTCTTCATGGACTTTCTTCACCTCCGGCAGATCAAAGACCTCCAAGACGGCCTCATCGTAACGAGGACAGGAAGCCTTCATTCTAATGCGCTAATAAATTAAAATAAAATATAAAAATATAAATAAATTGTTAACCAAAAACCACAAATTTTTCCTTACCACATCAGTTTCCTCTGGTTCCATAAAAATGGGAATGGGCTGCCAGTTGAGCATCAAGTTCCACTCCAGAGGCGTGTTTTCCGGGGGAAAGAGTCCGGCTAGCACCATCTGGAGAGACATCATGGTGCGTGGCGACTCCGAAGATTGGGCTCGGATCATCTGAAAGGCAATGGATGTGATTACGCCGCCATGTCCATGAGCTTGCTCTACTTATCGTACATCGGGCTGATAATAGGGAGCCAGAAAATCTCTATAGCGCTGACGCAGTTGTTTGCCAATTTTATAGAGCTCCACTTTAGCGCCCTGTCAAATGAAAATTGCAATTTAATTCGAGTAATCTTATTTGTGTTTGCCAAATACTCACGTTTGTCAGAGCCCCCCAGCCGTAAGGCTCGTAGGTCTCATTTATATACGGATCTTTCGGATAAGTGTTGACCGGAGTGCGGGGACCATGACGAAATAGCTTTAAGATTAAAATCATAAAACGCATTATTAAAATTAGCCATAAAATGTGTCTGAAGAAATAAAGTCAGGGAATTTGAATCATCCGAATAATTGACAAAAAAAAATAAAATTTAAGCACTGTAAGTTAAGAGTAAGTAATAATTATTACCTCACTCGAATAAGTAAACAAAAATCTGCATTTAATCAATATTTTGTATTAACCGAAATAAAAACGTAACTGGATGTTTGCTCTTAATTACGCAAAAACCCAAACTGATTTCAATAAATAATTATTTAAACAACTCGATCGATCAACTTGTTCCCGTATATATTTAATTTTAATTGAGTTATAATTATGCAAATTTCATTCAGGGAAAACATTATTATACAATAAGTTGCTCCATAAATTTGAAGTTTAAGTTCCACGAAACCGGTTTCAGGTCTTGGTACTAAATGCAATATTACGTATACGTCGTGTTAGCTGCAAACTTGCTTAGGAACAGTAGCTCTATGTTTGAAAAGAGAACTGAATTTCGGTTTACCTAAGAGCACACACATTGATTGGATTGTTTGGGAATGAACAGACAATTTTTTTGGCCAAAAGTCAATTGCACACAGTAAAGGTTTTTAGCACATTTTGTATAATTACACGGTCTACTAGCTTGAGTAGTTGCCAAAAATTTTTAACAAGCACTAAATTGGGTTGACTTAATTTTTCAAAAAATTATCTTTCAATTACCACATGAACCAGCTTCAGGGTGGATTTGGTCTCTGTTGTATTCAAGTCCTTTGGGCCTTCTGGGTCAAGGGCAATCTCCTCTGGAATCTCGGGAACTTCTGGCACCACACCGCCTCGGACAATTAAGCCGCAACTTAAAATAAGTGCCAGCAGGCCAAAGAACTTCGGCATTTTCGCGAAACTAAATTAAATGGATCGTTTAGAATTAAGTGGACCGGCTTCGTTGAGGCTTGTGCGTTGAGTGACTGCATCAATAGAACTGCGGAGTGCTTTTAAGTCGCGATTATGTATTCCGCTAATACGTATGTACATCTCTCCCGCCAATACAACCACAGATAAGAGCGGCGAAGAGCGAGCTAGTCAATCAGCGCAATCATCAACTACAATGGCAAACATTTCACAAAAAAAAAATATATATATATAATTCAATTTAATTAGTTTCACACGAAAATGATTTCCCTCCCCCGTCAGAAATTAACTCAACGACCTTTTGAATATTTATTTTTGGGGATTTTTATTGTACTTTATTCTTCATATATTTTTTGCACAACTCTTCATCAGCTGCTATTGTAATACTGAGCGAAAATAATTTCTCTATGGCAAATGGTTTTCGCTAACGGCCGACCTGATCGATTATACGCGGTGGCGGCTCCACGAAATTATCGTTATGGGGTCGGCACCTCTCCTCCACCGACTCGTTGGGTAGCACCTTGGCACTCAGCTCAATGAGTTGGCTCAGGGGACACCGAAAATCGCAGTCTTTTAGCTTCAGCTGCTCCACACAGCCGTGCTCGTCGTTTCGGAGAAAGATCTGAAAGTTTTGAGAGAAAATGAACATTTATAATTGCTATTCAGAAATTGAGTTTATAAAACTTAAAAGAAATACATTTTAGAAAAGCCAAGTAATCAGCAAGAAGTGTGTATTTAAAAATAGTTTTTTATTCTGTCTGGGAAAATAATCGCGATCTAGCACGGTGAAATATTTTTTAGCTGATATTTGGTTTGAACTTAGCCACTAAAATTCCCAAAAGTAAACAAAAAATATTAAATTATCTTATTTTGCAAAAACGTTCAGACACCTATTTTTATTACGCATCTCAGCCTGAACTTGAACTAAATTGAACTTGAAAACTACTTATTGAAAGAGAACTTAAAAGAGCACATTGTAACTTTTTAAAGTACTTACCTCCACATAGTATTCACCGGTTTCCTTATCCCTGTGAGTTTCAAAAATGGCCATTACAGCAAAACGCGGCATCTGACGCTTCCAAACACCCAAGGCCGAAAGGATATTGCCCACAGTCCAGTCGTGTCCTGTGTAGATGAACATTCCTCGATCTTTGGGCTTCAGACTACCGGCTCTTTTGGCCACCATCTCCTTGTACATTTTCTTGAGGAAGGGTCCTCCTTTAATCTTTTGCATTTCCGGTGTGTAGGCATTGTAAACGTAGCTCTGTTCGGCCAGGAATTGCATACGATCGGGGAAGTAATCCTTTGTCCAATCAGGCAACTTGTAGCCAAACTCCTGTTCAGCCAAGAGGGTAATGTACAAGGAATTGACATCCTCGGCACTCTGAACAGATTTTCCAGTGAGGTTTGTGAGTTCGCGGAACATTTGTTCGAAGGGTTCCGTTTCAGCAATCACTTCCGGTCGCTGAAAGACCTCTTCCAGGGCCTCAAAATAACGGGGACAGGGTGTTCGAACTAGCAGTAACTAAATTGAAAGTTCACTAACTATACTTTCGGGTTTTAGGGTTTTTAAACATAACATTCTTACCGAATCCTGATCTAGAGGCTCTGAAACAATGGGAATCGGTTGCCAATTGAGATGTTTGTTCCACTCCATTGGGGTTCCTTTTGGCTCAAACATGCTGGCCAGGGTGGTTTGCAAGGACATCATGGCCCTTGGCGAGGCAGTGGCTTGTGCGTGTAGTCTCTAAAGATATTTATTTAATTTTTAAATTTTATTTAATTGTTTAGTTTCTTACATCCGGCCTATAGTAGGGTCCCATGAAGTCACCATATCGACGATGCAACCACTTGCCGATCTCGTAAAGTTCCTTTTTTCCAGACTAGAAAAAGGATGTTATTACTTTGAAAATATTATTTCTTTCTATTACATATTAGTTTATATTATGTGTATTTAAAATTGATTTTTCACCTTTTTAAAGGACATTCATATTTCACTCACATTTGTCACATGGCCCCAACCGGTAGGCTTAAAGCCATCCTTCAAATAAGGATCTTTGGGATATGTATCCACTGGCGTGCGAATTCCATGTCTGAAGACTATGTGCACTAATTCCAACGTAGAATGCGTTGTATTGGGACTGGTTTTGTAGCATTTTTGCCAAGGCAGGTCCTTTGAGGACACACTGTTACTGCTGAGCACACCGATGAGAATTACGACGCCCAGCAGGGCAGCTCCCAAACCGAACATGGTGAGTATTTGTTTACGCGTCCAGCGGCCGAATATCATTTTGAGGCTGTATTCCTTTTTATACAAATCCAAAATCCAAACCGGAAGAATCGATTCACACACAAAAACGAGATTTTGGTTAACAGAATTTGTGGTTTTTTTCACTTGCGATTGCTTTGTGATTTTTTATGAATTTATTGTAATTCAATTACGAGTTTTTTTACGATTTTGGTTTAATTTTAATGTGAGCTGCAAGGCGCGTGCAACTCACAGCTCGTCTGAAGCTAAAATAAAGCGTTGACAGCTAGATACGGAGAACTTAAAGAGAGATAAATCAACGCTGGGGTATTCGGCTATTGTTGCGTCACGTGTTGTTGTTGTTGTTGCCTTTGTTTTAATGGCCACTTTCCACCGAACTCGGCTCAGGCCGAGATTCCAAGCCAGGCTTGGCGAACTGAACGACCAAGCGAATAAAAAACCCACAGCTAATTGGGCGTTTCTCATTGAACCAGGCAATTACGTATACGCCATGTGTTTGCGGAACGCGACTTTTCGGTAGCTGGATATCCCACCGGCCCCTTATTGGTCTATTTTTAGCCTTGTAACGCCCTCTGCTGGACTAGTTGGACATTTCTTCCATAATTTCCATAGTCATTATATGATCTTGGGGTCTGATACTTTTTCTCCCGTATGATTTAAAAAATATTTTTGGCTTTCTTTGTTTACTTTAGATTAGACATTTAATGGTCAGTTGTTTGGTTATATTTTTGTCTGTTTTTATAGTAAAAGTATTATCAAAATTATTCAACAAGCTTATAATCTTTGCTTAGCTTAGCTTTAATTGCGAAAACGCCTTTAAGCTACGCCTGATATAATAAAAACCAACCTACCCTAGGTTAGTAATCAAAAGGGGTTCAAGCTCAAAAAGTTCCCTGCCCTTGAACTTAATAATATCTACATTGTATTACTTTCTTCTCTCTCCACATAATCTAAAGTAATCCCACCTTTCTCTAAAATACAACATATCATAAAAATACCCACAATGTATGTGTTTCTTTGCACTAATTATTTGCCTTGTTTCATTTTGTTGACACTTTGGCTCTGGAGAGATAATAATTCAAGTTGGGTATTCGCAATTTCGTCTTGTTTGAACAATTTGTTTGTGTTGACTTTTTTTTTGCGAACTGGTGTCACACAAATTGGCAAACAAGGAATGTCAGCAAACGTCTCTATTTCTCGAAAAATAACTCTTTATCGCCCAATGGATTTAACATATTTGACTTTTATTTTGTGCGAGAACGAGAACTAATTAGCCAGACTGCCAAACTGGCTATACCGACTGTCAAAAGTCCGTGTTTGTAGATCACCACTAATTGTTGTCTAAAATGAATTTTAAGGCTAATTAATGACAACGTTGGCGATTAACTGTTAACAGTGTCTTTGTCAGCTTCCGAACTATGCAATTACCGGCTAAAAAAATAAAATCACAAAATAAATAAAGTTTCATGCTGAATACTCTACAATTTTGTGATTGTTCATGACTTTTGACAGTGTGTCTTGAACTTTTTGTCTAGTTTTCGTCTAGTTGTATTATTATTATTTTTGTTTTTAGTTCAACTTGAATCAGAATCAATATAATTGATAAACACACACGGCATAGAATAATGGCAACTATGTACTACGAGAGCAACGCAATTGGCATTTGAATTGCATCAGCTTGAGGAGCGATTAACATTTTTGCAGTCGAATAGTGAAAATAAATGGCCTTGTCGGCATGTCAGGAAAGTAATTTTTAAATGAATTTGGGTTTTTATTAGTTTTTATTATTCTTAAAGTATAATATTTCCTGACTCAAATTCTTGGAGTATTAGTAATGAATTTATAGGAAATTATTTTACCCCAATCAACGATTAAATTCTTAGAAATATTTGCGTATTGCGAAATATTTTTTTGTTTTCAGCTGAAATATATGTTGAAGTATTACTTCATAAGATTAGGGCTGTTCCACGTGTTTCATTAGAATAATAAACACATTTTATAATCTATTCAAACTATCAGTTGTTATAGTTTGAAACCAGCCTACGTTTATTTTGTATATTTTTGGTTCAAAGGGCTTCATAAACATTAGCCAATTAATTGAAATGTTTTAGCATTATCTCTTAAGAAAACAAATGAATCATTCTATTCATCTTATGCCAAATAAATATATTTTTATAGACAATATTATTGATGTTGTGCTTCTCTAAGTTCCCATTCTAAGCACACATGCTCCAGTTTTTTTGGGTATTTATATTCCGATCTCTGAATGACTCTCCTAAGCCTATTTGCTAATGACTTTCACTGAAATTTATGGTCACTGCGCCAATGCAGAGCCAAACAAATACCGAAAACGGAAAATATTTTCAAATAATATATTTCTGGCTGGTCAGAGAGTCATGAAGGAGACTGGCACACGTGCTAACTTTGCCATAAAACGTGCATTATACAAACAGCAAAGTGGGCTGGTGTGGAAAACGTTTTCGGGCCAAAAGCGTCTTCAGGCTCGCGTTCTCCCTTGAAGAATCCATCCGCACATGCACTGGCATTAATATTTATCAGACCCGCAATTACGATTATCGACAGAACGGGCCAACTACTGGGGAAACCCTGCGAATATTTGGTAGGGGGGTAATGAAATCGAGGGAAAACAAAACTTCAAAAAGCAAAAGGCCGGGGGGAAATCTAGGAAATACCGCCAAATTGTCGGACAAAACGTGGCCGAAATTTATTGATTCCGACGCATTGAAAATAGTTCTCGGTGGAGCAATTTCAAAGATTTGTACGACAAATTTTTTTCAGCTCCTCCTCGTCTTCTGCCTTTTCAAACTCTTGATGTTTTTTTTTTCGCGGCTGCCTTCTATTTTTTTGTTCATTTTCGCTGAAATGGCTGAAAATTTTCCAACTGACGGGCATAAAAATTCGAACACGCGTAGTTAAACAGAAAGTCGGAGGGGCGGACAGGGCGTGGCCGGAGCATCTATTCAATGAGACAAAGAACGCCGGACCCGGACAGTCTGCGTTTTGGGGATTGCGTCTGAACCGCTTTTATTTTCCTTTTTTTTTTGGCAGGGCTTTTGGGCAATTGGGATGGTGGGATGGTGTGGATGGGGTGTGGGGTTATAGGGATGTTGTCGCCTAAACGATAAACCAATGACAAAAGTCAGCAGCGATTAAAGTTCAATTGGTGTGACCTGCCAATTGGCATAAAGGAGAAACGATTTCCAATGCTGGCCAAGTTGGAAAAATGTGAGTTCCGGATGGTCAGGAGCGAAAGGATGGGCTTGCTGATAGGACTGGAATCTGTTAGGAAAACAAATTGTTGCATTAAATAACATATTTTAAAAAATGGTTTTTTACTTTAAAGAATACGAAATTATACCCAAAATGATATCTGTTGTTTTTTTTAAATGACCGGTTAATGCTATAGACACACGGCCAGGCCTGATTATCGCATATTAATGAGTTTATTTAACTTTTTCAATGCGATTGATGGCCTAGAGGGGCGCACTGAAAATTGTAGTCAGGGGGCGTGGCTGGGCAGGGGGGTGCCCCATCTCATGTGAGGCGGCTGTTTGTGAAGCTTTTCACAGCAAATTACAACAAATTATACACATAATTACGCTTTAATGCCTGGCCTACCCACGCCTCCAGCTCTCTCTCTTTTAACGTGGCCCATACCAACCGACCCCGCCCCCTGTCACGCCCACTCGCCACAGCCCCAGCCTTGGGTCGTGTCGTGCAACGCATCAATGCAAAGTAAAATTGTGTGTAAAAAATGTGATAATTAACTTAAGTCCTTTGAGAATTTCGAGGCAGGGCCAGGGGAAAGGTTATGTCCTTATAAACACGAGAACCGACATACAAACAAAAACACAGACATATATGAATATATAAATGGAAGATACATAAATTCACATACGTCTGTATTTCGTTGGTCCTTTGTTTGTTTGCGTATATAATGTCATTGTCAGTTAATTATGTAAAATGTCATTCATGCCAACATAAGTATGTTTGTATTATGCGCTACCAAAGGAAAAATGTTGGCATAAAAGGATTTTGCTTTCGCTTTAAAAATACAAACACACCAACACCCACGATTACGCGCCATATCTGTGTCTGTACGTTTGTATTTGCATATATTTGCATTAAGTTGTTGTGTTAGAACCTAATTGTGAAGATGAATTAAATCTACTCTGGACTATGATAAGGTAATATTTTTTAATTTGATTATTAATCAAGCCATAAAATTTATATAAAGTAAGTTATATTAAATCCAGTAGTTATTAGTTTCTTGTGACTTCCTGCTATTATGTATCTAGTTACTAGTTTATAATTTCTAGTTACTAGTTACTTGTGACTTGTTAGGCTGCAACTCGTTACTAGTTACTTAAACCTACCTTATTTAATATAAATGTACCATTTTCCCTTTTTTAAAAAGTGTGTCCCACAACTGTCGTGTCAAACAATGACATTTCACTTTTATGCTGTAAATTCCTGTGGCTTCATAAATTTAAATTATGTTTACCCGACAGCCACACACTCCGACACACACGTACAGGTGTTTTATAGAATTATGCCCTACCTGCCAGCTTCCTGGTCGGCCTTTCATTTCATTTTTGGCATTCTCAGCTGGAGTTAACCCTTCGACTTTTCTTCATTTGCTTTGTTAATGAGAGTCTCATAATGCATACAATTAAAGGCAACAACAATAGAGATAATTCTATGGATGAGGGAGTGTGGGGCAAGATCCTGTCGGAGGCAATTAGATGTCCTCGTTAGGCTGAGGTTGACTTCCTGCTAGGCTGCCATGCATGACGGCAGTTAAGCTTTCTCATTCCTGATAATCCTTTATAAATAATGCATTAAATGCTAGCATACACTGAAAACAATTTTAAGTTAAAAGGAAAAAATAAGGATAATAAGTTCATGATTATGGGAATACAAAACATTCACTCCAAAGCTTTTAAAATATTTTATTTGCCTATTAAATTGTTGAATGAAAATTTATCTTTTTATATTTTTTTTCTATGTGTATTTGCGACCTGCAGCATTTGTTTTTAGCTCCTGGCAGCTGTCGGAAGCTGGCGGTATATAGATGATAACCCCAAACCGCAGATGGGCCGTCGGTCTGCCATTTAATTCAATTTGCATAAAAGTGCTTGGCATTTTATTAACCCACTAAACGTAATTTAGTGCCGGGAGCGCACGCTTCAATTGCCCCGCTGACGGAGTGCTTACCCACTCCTTACTCCTCGCTTCTTGCCAATTTCTTGGCCCTTATATCCCTGGAGAGTCCTGCTAGACCATCCCCACCAATTATCGAATGTCCGCCCGCCGCTCCCAGGAGCCCCATGAGCCGCAGATCGACCTTGCGCCTAGTCAAGCGTAAAGTGGGCCATTTTGGAGCGAGCCGGTTTTCTGACCCACAGCGGGGCATTATTTTTTAAGCCTGCCGTTGCAGTTTCCTGGCCAAAAAAAAGAATATTTTCCCTTTTTGGCGGGGGATTCATGCAAAAAGCCCGACTGAAATGGGTCAGGCCTTTGGGGCTGACTAAGCCGAAACACTTAATGGGACTTAATAAACCGATTCAATGGATGAAAGTCTGGCAGGCTAAGAGGTTTATTATTTGGAGAGTTATGAGGGAAACATTTTTTAAGTCTTTAGTATACTTTTATAAAAGAATTTTTATCAAACAAGCTGTTTTTAATTTTATTACAGAGCTAACTGAAATTGTTCAAATAAATCCTTACCAAAAGAAACATCTCCTGAACTCCATGTTAAATATTTCCCCATTAGGAAAAGTTTTCCTTTGTCTTTTGACCAACATCTGCTTGGCCTGTAATTAAAGCATTTTTAATGGCCATCTGCGATGACCTTCAAGGCAAATCACCGCCTGACACACTCCATAAATACGTATAATTTTGGGTTAATTACGTAAAATAATCATATTTTTTTCAACTTTGGCCTGTAGAGAGGGTGTTGGGTGGATTGTGGTTTTGGTAACTTACCAGCAGGTCCACTTTGACCTGCTTTTGTTATCATAAAATCCTGCCACAGCCGCTACTGCCATATATGAGAGTGTGAGTGTATATCTATGCGGAAAGTTTCGGCACATTAAATGAAATTTAATTCCTGCCGTCATAAGCAGCCAGGACAAGTCCAGGACAGCAGCTGGACAGGCTAAAGTAGCAAGAGAAGTGTGGGGCTTACGGTGGCAAGGGGTGGCAAAGGTCCAGAGGGTAACCGCCAAAAACTGTAGCCAATGTTTCTGGTGCTGCTTTGGCAAGGCCTTCTTCTGTCATGTTGGTCTATACACAACAAAAATACAAAGTTTATTTAAATAATATTTAATATTTTAGGTTTATGAGAGACTTTGTTTCTACTTCTTTTGTTTCTATTTATAAGGATCGTTATATGAACCATGTCGAATAAAAAGTTAGAGGGATTTTTTCTGTGTGCACCCGCATCCTTCTATGCCATGTCTATGGCCACGCCTTGCGCCTCCCCTTGGCTTTGTACGTGTCCTGGGCCTCTGTTTAAATGTTATTTAACGCTGGCCCAGAAGTGTCATGACGGCCAGCCCCTGGTTTCTGCTGTATGGTTGTGTGTGTGTGAGCTTGTGTGTTTATGTGGGCGTGGCAAACTCATAAAATGCCGCACAGTTGTTGCAAAATTTGTGGGCATCCTTTTGTTGCAAGAGCCCCATACCTACCATACCTCACATTTAAAGCGAACCACGAGAAAAACACCCGACAAAAAATTGCAAAAATATCAAGAATTTCACGCTCATCTGACTAAATGGTTTTATAGATTTTGATATTTGCTCATTTGTTGATCCGATTCGTTCGTTGAATTTCATATTAATATTGTACTTTGGCCGGCGTGGTTGTTGGAATTTATGAGGCGGTCAGTTTTTGGGGTTTCCACGGGTTTCCAAGCCCAAAATATTCCACGCTTCGTTATCCTTTGGCCTTTCCTTTTTTTGGCTCCTTTCTCGGAGCCCAAGTCCAATCATGTAAAGCCATTTTTGTGTCTGCGTTGGCAGAAATTGTTGCCTGTTGGATTTTGATATGTTAATCATATTTTATGTTTTTATATTTTGCGCTTCAACTATTCGATTGCCGACTTTGGGTTTATTGGGATATTTGTCTGCTGCTCAAAAGGGCGTGAAATCCGGGCCAGTCCGTTGTTTGGTGGATGGGTGGCGGATTAATGGACAAGGGTTGGATTTTTGCATAGGTCACGATATCCATTAAATGAGGTCGGCAATTAGTGTTTATGAATTTTAAAGGCAGAAGGTAAAGTAATCAAATAATCATCCAATTATCATATTCGTATTATGACCATCCAATGAAAAAAAAGGAAACCCATAAAACCCTAGGACATTTTTATGCCGTAATCCTTCGTTTTGATGTCGCTCAAGTATCGCACAAGCTCCCTATGTTCGTGGGACATCTTCAGCTGATATGACATTTAGGCCAGTTTATGGCCTGACCCCAATGCCGTTTTGCTAGCCTTTCGTCCCACGGGGCGTATGCGCCATATTTCAGTTTGTGTTGCTTGTTGCTCTCGTCCACCAACTGGCGGCAAAGACCAGCCAGCTCAGGGGGCTCGTGGCCATAATCGTGCTCATCATCATCAACTTTCTTCATCTCCATCATCATATTCACAACTTAACGTCCACTTTTCCATCAAACAGGCCGTAAAGTGGCATTTCCGTTGTCGCTCCCTTCTCCACCCCGTCGGCGGTACGTTCATTCGTCCTTTTCGTTAGTTTGCCAGTTGCGCCTTTTTGTATGCAGCATAAAATTAAATTATTTGTTGCATAAGCCCCGTCCGGCCACCCACTGCTCGCTCCCCCGTCTCTCGAAAAGCCAACGAGGCATGCAGCAAAGTGCTAAGCCATGAGAAAGTGTGCACTTGAAGCAGCACAAGCCGCCCTCTACTTTTCCTCTGGGTCCGGGCCACGCCCACTTCGCGACAAGGTATGCATGGTAGTGGTGCCACAAATACCACAGAAAATGGCACAAAATTATTTAAATGAAATTTTTATAAAATATATAAAAACAAACACAAGAAATCTTTAAAAATTCCTCCAAAATAAATTTTTAAAAAAATCGAATTTTTGAACAAAAATGATCTCAACAACACTACAGCATGGTAGGAGTAGAAGGGGAGTCACTGGAATCGTTGGGTCACATTATTATACTTTGAGCCACGCCGAAATCAGGCACAACTTTCTGCCACACTCCCCCTGATCCTTGGCTGGATTCTTGCATCCTTGCAGCCTGTCATAACAACAGAACGGAATGGTCGGTCGGTAGAAGGTCGGTGGAAAACTCGGCCGAAAACTGAAGGCGGCCAAAGAAGGGCAACAGTTTTTCCAGGCAGCGCTGCTCTTTTCAACTCTGCCCTCCTTACCTCCCCTCACAATCCCCCTGAAACCAATCCCCTCCCTCCCTTTGGGATTCATTTTCGTTTCATTCATTTATTCGTCGCTGGCTGCTTTTCATTCATTTTGAACTTTCGACGATTTAATTCGGCTTTCGAGCTGCTATTCCATCTCCGTCCGCCCAGCTGCCAGGCATTTCTCCGGCACCCTTTCTCCATTTCTCCTGGTTCTCTGTTTCAGTTACTGCTGCCATAGTATTTTCCCCATTCCGTGTCTGGCGAACGCCTTTGGCCAGGCGGCGACAACAAAAAGGTTAAAGGGGCAACAGTACTATATTACGGAAAGAATGCAATTGAGATGCACTTGACAAAATGAAGTATAAGATTGGGGTGGTAGGTAGGGTATTTTGAACATTTTTGGATTTTAGATATTAAGAGAAAATATTGTAAATCAAAACTATCATTTTTTGATTTTTTTAGAAGAATATACATCCAGCTAAAGGTTGCTATTTAGCAAACTTACATCATAGCTTAAATTATATATTTTTATTTTATAATAATTATCATTATATTTTTTAGTATTAATTTTTATATTATTAAAAAAACACTTTGGTAACAAAACCCTATTCGTATTCGATGTACCTCAATGGCAACAATAAATTTCAGTCCCTGAACCCTTGGCATAAATTTCACGTCTGCATTTCGGTCTTTCTGTGAGCTTTCCTGTTTTTCCCTTTTTTTTTTGTTGACCCCACCTGGACGACTGCCACGATTGCAATCTCCACTGCTCATTTGCATTTTTAATGAAACCATATAAAGGCGAAAAAGGGCGAAGGAGGTGATGTCGGCAAAAACTGGCCGAAAGTGTGTGAAGAAGCTGCAAATTATGAGCCAAAGGCAAGATACCTTTCCCCATTCCATGTCCATGCCTTCACATTATTTTCTGCTCAAACACACTCGGGCATATACCTTTGCAAATAAATCGGAACATATCCCTGGCATATCCCCAACCAAACAATCCAAACTGTCAACAGTTTGTCGCGGCTTATCGCGGCGTCGAAATTTTCTCTCTGTAACCAATAAATGTTTCAACATCATTTACATTTTGGTGACAGACTTATCCTCATGGCATTGGAAATGAAATCTTCTCGCTGCGCCAGGGACTTGAATCATTTTGGTCCTTTGGCTGCTGGTCCCGAGATCCTGAGGTCAGAGCGTTCCGTACAGTTTCGGTATTGCGGTCCGAGCAAACAGCACTCCGCTCGCAGATTTATGTGACCGCAAAACTTTGCTTCACGGCATAAATTAATGTTTAATTGATGAATTTATTTGGGCGAAGGGAAAGATGCTCGGCCTTCCATCGGTCAGTGATTCATCAATCTGGGGGTCATTTGGCCAAAGCTTAAAAATTTATTCAATAACATTTTTGGGTTTATAGAATAAAAACTTTATGAATTTTGTTTTTTTACTTGATAAATATTTTTTTAAAGATTTTTTAAGGTTATTTTTGTTGAATATATATTTTTTTTTAAATTATTGTCTTTCCATTTTCTTTTAATGCGCGCCATTTGTTTAAAATGAACTGCTTGAACCAATTAGTAAGCAGTTTACCGCTTGCTAGAGATGAACTCTTGAAGGTGGAGAAATAAATAAAAGCTAAGTTCACAACCGCCTGGAGTTTCAAACTGTATATTAAAATATAAATCTATCTCTAAATATCTATAAATTTTAAACTTCAATTTATTTTATATTTTATCGCATTTTATGCATTTTGCTTCGTTTTATTTATTTAAAACTATAGTTTAAAATTTCGTTATTTGTACAATACAACCAATACAATACATTAATTTATGTCCATCCTCGTCCAATTGCCGTCAGTTTTCAGTCAGAGTCGTCTTACCACCACTTGTGGCCATTGTCCTGCCACTTGCTACCCGTATCCTGCTTAACATCCACATAGCTGGTGGCATGTCCGTGTCCGTGTCCGTAACTGTGATCGTGTCCGTGGTCGTAGTGCTTGGGCTGGTAGTGCTCGCCATGTCCAATGTGCTTGACCACAGCCTGGAATCCGTTGTGGGAATCGGCGGTGTATTCCACGATCCTGGTGCGGCCATCGGCCTCCTTCATGGTGTAGCCTCCCTTGACTTTGTCGCCATCGCGGGTCTCCCACTGCTGCTTGATGTCTCCGGTCTTGGTGTCCTTCACGCCGTAATCGAACTCGTACTTGGGATGATGCTTGGGCTCCTCATGGTGATGATGGGAGTAGTCCTGGTGGTGGGCAACGGGAGCCCAATGCTGCTGGGGCTGTTCCCAATGCTGCACCTTCGGGGTCTCCGCCCACTGCTGATGGTCGTGCCACTTCTTGGGCGCCTCATGATGGGTCTGAATGCTGTAGCCCACGCCATGTCCATGTCCATGGTCGTATCCTCCATGGCTGGGAATGTAGCTAGAGGCTGCCACACCCAAAAGGGCACAACAAATGAGAGTCAGTTTCTGAGCCATTTTCGTGGGATTTCCTGGTGGCGGTTGACTTGCTTGGCCTAAATCGCAATTGGAACTGTGATAATCGGTAGACAACGCCTAAGGTTTTTATACTTTATGGCCCATTCTATGGAATCAATTAATTACACTTTACTCTCGAGGCTAAATAGGCTAGAAAAAAAGTAAGAGCCCCAAAAAGAAAAATGCTTTGAATTTTTGTGCAAATTTTCATTTTTCCTCATTCGTATTCATAATCTTGGCTCTCGACTGGCGGCTATTGCCAAATTAAATGTGGCTCACAACTCGCCAAAGCTTACTAAAAAAACGCAATATTATTATTAATTTTTTTTCTTTTTTTGGTTAGAAATCAATCAACAAGTGTGGCCCGCTTTCAAATATCTGAGCAATAGCCGCCTCGCCATGCCTCGCTGGGTTTCGGTTGGTTGCCGCCTCCTCTTTTTTTCTTCAGCTCCGACTTCACTACGAATGACCTTGAGAATGTGGCAGGAGGGGCTATGGTAGGCAGGGAAGCGGAGTCTCGTTGGGCGCTTTTCGGCCCAGGGGGTCTGATTTATGGCCAAGCCCAATGCTTCCGAATTGGCGTTAACTCACTAACCAGCGCTTAATGTTTTCTAAATATTTATAATTAATGTGAATGGACTTGTTGGGTGTCTTTTAAGGTTTAAGTCTTGTAACCTGAACTTTGAACCTTTTTTTTAATATTTGAAGTTAAATTAAGGATTTTAAAAAATATAATTCAATCCTTGATTAGTAATAATGTGTTTAAAATAAATCAAGATTAATATTTATGAATTTTTCTAAGCCATAGTTAAGGAATTTTAAGATTAAATTGTCCTATAAATCCTCTATTTTATGGAATTTAAGGAACTTTATTTTATATGAACTTTTTATTAAATCTTTTCTATTTAAATTCTACAAACCAAACCTTCCTTTTTCCATTAATCACCTTTAATAACTGATAGTCTTAAAAAAAAAAAAACCATTAAATTCTTGCAATGACCTTCTTGCTGTACTTTGAATAAAAACATTTCCTTATTACTTTTTTACCATTTTTATTGCCCTTACACCCTATTAGCTGTTAAATTCCCAATTTAATAATTTATTGGCCAAACGCGAAGTTCATTCTTGCAGTTAGTTCGCCCTTCTCTTTGGCTAACGAACTTACACACTCGATTGGATTTCTGTTATAGTTTATTATTTTCAGCAGAATTTAATTGTAACGGCTTGGGTGCGATATCTAAAAGATTTCGATTTTCCATAGAGCTCAATGACCAAAATACAGTATTAATAATAATTATGAATTAGTGAGGTAATTAACGCGTTCGCAGGCACGAGTGGTGAATGGATTGGCCAAGAGACTGACCACCCCGGAGCTCTACTAGATGGCTATAAAAAGGCGAGGTTAGTCTACTCAGAACCACCACTCATCATCGAATATCCGATTAGAAGACATCGATCAGAATGAAATCCTTTTGCGGAGGTCTGATATTTGGCATCCTTGTGGCCGGCAGCTTGGCGGCTCCTCACGGAGGACATGCCACCAGCTACAGCTCGGTGACCAAGCACGAAGAACCCATCCACAAGGCCTACGGATATGGATACGACCATGATGTGATCAGTGCCTACGGAGGAGTCTACGGACACGGTTATCCCAGTCACGGATATTCCGGCCATGGCTACGATAAGCACGAACCCGATCACTATCCAAAATACCACTTCGACTACGGTGTCAAGGATGCCCACACCGGAGACCAGAAGAGCCAGTGGGAGACCAGGGACGGCGACAAGGTCAAGGGCAGCTACTCCCTCAAGGAGTCCGATGGCACCACCCGCGTGGTGGAGTACACCGCCGATGACCACAATGGCTTCAATGCCGTCGTCAAGAAACTGGGCCATGCCGTTCACCCTCAGGTCTACCACAAGGGCTACGGACACGGCGACATCTACGGCTCGGACTACGGCTACGGACACGATGTGGCGCATTATGGTGGTTATGGACACGGCGGACACGGACATGCCAGCAGCTACGTGAGCGTGAAGCAACTGCACTGATCAAAGGACCTCCAAACGAAAGCGACCCTAAGTGATTCACCTGACTAAAGAAAGCTTTTTTACTCATTTAGTATTTGTATTAATATATTTAAATATAACTTGAAATATATAAATAATGTGTCTGTGGGTATGCGGGTTATGAGGATGGAAATAGATAAACCATTTAAAAGAGACTCACGAAAGTAAAGACAGTTCCTGTCAAGATTCTCCTTTATGGAGGTTAACTTTGGAAAGTTACAAAAATACATGGACCCACCAAAAAGCGATGCCATATCTTTGGCAATATGATCCGAATCTCGAGCATAATAACTGAAACGATTATTACATCGATTCTCAACAAATCTGCATCAAAATCTAAGGAAGTTTTTATTATATTTTTTGTCAAGTTACATATATTCTTCTTAAAACTGGAGCTAAGGCTGATACACATCCTATTTCTAAAAATAATATCCTGAAAGATTTGTACGTTGATTTTCTATAAATCTGCATCAAATTGTATAAACTTATTAATTTTTTGATATATTGTCCAGTTTTTTTTTTGGGATTCCCTATAACGTACGGAAAAATCCATGGAGGAACAAAATGGGCCACAGCAAAGTCCACGTCTTTACCAAAACTTATCCGATTCAGGCGGAATACCTTTAACGTAGAGAATACGTATATCGATTCTCCATAAATTTTCATAAAAATCTAGAACCATACTATTTTTTTGAGTTTTTTCCAATTTTCTGGAGAGTCCCTTCCACAAAAATCCACAGAGCCACTGTATAGTCCATCTCGAAGGCCATATCTTTGGTAATAATCACCCGATTCTTTAGCGGAATACCTTAAAAGAACTGCAGATCATTTGATACACATTTTTTTTGTCAGCGACGTATTTAGCGATCAAGAATAACACAAACCAAGATATATAACAAATTTATAATTATTTAAAACCCTACCACTTCCATGTAGCGCCATCTATATTTGACGCACTAAAAGCCGATTGCAAAGCAGTTCAAACGGAAAACTGCTTGAATTGGGCTATGTAACTGAAATTTAAATTAAAAAATCCAAATATTCAATAAAACTAAAGAGGCTATAAAATATTTTTAATAATTAGAAAAATCTATGAGAATATTTAGTATATTTTTATAGTATCTTATTTTGAAGAATAAATTAAAAGCCTGTGTTTCCAACAAAACCCTCTCTTTCGTCAATTAAAAACCCATTTGCATATCTCTTTTTGGTTTTAGTTATTTATTTATCGAATAATTTAAATTCACATACATATAGGTTTACATATACATTTTATTCATATGAATATAGGTTGTTTTTTTAGTTTCCATGTGTATATTTATATTTTAGGTGGTGTTGCTCCTCTATTCATGGTTTAGTTTCAAACAGTGTCTCCTTCAGGCTACAATAAATAAACACTAAGTTTTAGGAAATATATTTTTGTATATGCAGGTTTGTACATTTCGCTTTGCTTTCCGAGTTTTAAGTTTTTGTTTTGCATATTTTCATGTTTCATCTAAGAGTTGTAAAGTAACAAAGTTTCGCTTAAATCGGAGGTATTTCAGCATTTATTCTTTTGTTTCGGTTTTCTATTTTGATGTCAGCAATGTTGTTTGTGTGACGTCTGTCATAGGATTGAAACAATTTATAGAGTTTTGTGTATTTTTTTTATAGAAAAACTTGTATAAGTAAAGTTAATATATATATTTATGTTTTGTGTATATATGTATATATATTTTTCTATGCTGGCACCTGGCTAGCATGCATTCTTTTTTCTAGTTAACACGTGCAGTGCTATTTGTGTTTTTCAAGTCTTTGTTTAAGTTTAAGTTACATACATTTAGTTTTGCTGCGATATTTATACGGATTAAGTAGCATATATTACACACATTATAGGGTCGGATTTCCCATACACATATATCATACGACAACACCGATAACACCGATTCATAGATTTATGCGAAAGAAATCGTGAAACCCCCATCATACATATTTATTTATGCTCTCGTTGTAAGTACATACAAAATAGGTCTAAAGTGATGCAGAAATGCTTTGTGGTTACCCTTGATAGACGTACTCGGCTGGAAGGAATACTTAACTTAACAATTAGCATAAGTTCTCACTGTGGGAGAAAAACTGTCAAACAGTTGACGACCAGTTGAAGAAAAAAAACACACAGAGGATCGCACAGCAAAAGGACAACGGCACAACAGGACGATGGCAATTTGTCAACTGTCGCCGTCACAAAAGAGCGACTCCTTCTAAGCAAACTCAAGTCAGGGTTGGGTTCCCCTTTTCCCTCTTCATATTTTCTTATAATTTTTTTTTTTTGCATGATTGACGACCATTCACCTATACGAATATTATTCCTTGTGTGCGGTGTATTCATATTTATTTAAGAAATGCACACTTGAATACTCCCCAGGTTAACAAGGAGCCGGAGGCAGGCTCCTCAAGTGTCTGATGACGACGTCGATTGAAATGTCAACAGGACTGGTTGACAGTTTTCTGTATTCTTTTATATTTTCGAGTTGTGTTTTTTATGGTTTGGTTTTTGCTAATTTGTTGAGAGGTTGCTGCATAAAATGCACAACAAAAATCCTTTAAATCAATTATCCGGCCAGCATTTGAATAATTTTCGTTGCTTAGGAACTTTTGATTGAGCTTCTTGGAGGGCAAACTTCTGCATAGTTTTTAGTTTTAGTAAGTTATTTTCAGTGTATATATATTGTACATTCATAGATGAGATTTTGATTTTTTTGGGTTTTTATGTTTTCTTGCGAATATGAACAATTTAAGCTTTTTTTTTTTTGGTTTGGAAAATGCATAGAAAATTCACACAGATAAGGTAACAGTTAGAGTTAAATACAATCGCGCCAAATTAACCCTCGGAAGTGGAAATTATTTAACGGATGTAATGCCACATGGCCGTAGGTTTCCGGGCATTGTTAATCATATCGTGCCAGTGCTGGCATCCAGTTCCACTCTCCTGGGGCCCCAATCCGCAGCATCCAATTTCCGTTGCCTCGCTCCCGGCTCCGACCACATAGATCTGCGGTTTAGAAATAAAGACGGGAAAAAGGCAAAAAAAAAACACCAGAAATAAGTAACAATTACACAGTGCGACAGTGGTTTGGAACTTTTGAAGAGACCTAGTAGGAATTGTTCATTAGGTCGAGTATAGTATAAAACCATGTTTGAAATTTTTCCTACACCCTCAAATCTTGATTTATTGCGAAAAAACGGTTTTTCGAAAGTGTTTTGCTCTTAAAAATTCCTGAACGCGCAATTTTGGGCCGATTTTCAAGTTTTTTATGTTTTTCAATAGTTAAATGTGGTAGCTTTTGAAAAAAAAATACATCTTCAATTTATTTAAACAGAAAGGACACAAATTTTACAAAAGAAACTGACTTTTTTGAATTTTTGTCACGTTTGTCGAACTTTGACGCCATGTTTTCGGTACAACTTCCAAGAAATGGTATCATTCTTAACACATATTAATATTGTCTCATTAATCTTGAATAAAACAAGACCAATTTCATTTCGAAATTATGAAAATTGTTGAAGTTATTACGCTTTTCCCAAAACAAGTCAATTCAAATTCGAGCGCACCGTAACAGTATGTAAGTACCAGTATGTAAGTTAACAGAAAGATAGAAACTCAATGGAAGATTATTCTTGTCAGTCTTATTTTTATTGATTTCATAGCTTTTATCAATGTTTAAAAATGCTAAAAATGAAAAAATAAAAGCTATGAAATCAATAAAAATAAGACTGACAAGAATAATCTTCCATTGAGTTTCTATCTTTCTGTTAACTTACATACTGGTACTTACATACTGTTACGGTGCGCTCGAATTTGAATTGACTTGTTTTGGGAAAAGCGTAATAACTTCAACAATTTTCATAATTTCGAAATGAAATTGGTCTTGTTTTATTCAAGATTAATGAGACAATATTAATATGTGTTAAGAATGATACCATTTCTTGGAAGTTGTACCGAAAACATGGCGTCAAAGTTCGACAAACGTGACAAAAATTCAAAAAAGTCAGTTTCTTTTGTAAAATTTGTGTCCTTTCTGTTTAAATAAATTGAAGATGTATTTTTTTTTCAAAAGCTACCACATTTAACTATTGAAAAACATAAAAAACTTGAAAATCGGCCCAAAATTGCGCGTTCAGGAATTTTTAAGAGCAAAACACTTTCGAAAAACCGTTTTTTCGCAATAAATCAAGATTTGAGGGTGTAGGAAAAATTTCAAACATGGTTTTATACTATACTCGACCTAATGAACAATTCCTACTAGGTCTCTTCAAAAGTTCCTCCAACTTTTCTTTTTTTGTCGCACTGTGTTATTAGGAGAAAGGGCGGGCATTATAGGTGGGATGGTGGGAATTTTTCAATTAAAACACGGCCGACATAAAACCAGGCTATTGCCCGGAATTAGCAGTCCGGCTGTTAAAAACGGCGGCAGGCAACGGTTTATGGCCAAAACGACCAAAGCCGGCACAGGAAAGAAAAGGTCAAAGGTTACCTCGATGGCTGCATTGTGGAGATAATTTGATTGCAAATTAAAGGTGAACGCCTCATTCCAAATGGGATTGGTGGGATCGTCCGACTTCGTAATGCTGGTCTTCTTTTTCTTGATGCGTTTGCCGTTCTGGATTAGATAGATCTATGGGAAGTAGATAAGTTTAAATGAGTTTCTAATTTAATAATTATAATAATATGCAACCCACCTTTACGTATGGTTCCTGAACAGTGTCCAAGTTCCTAGCCTTCATGATGTTGACAGTCAAACGCTCGGCTTGAGGCAAATAGTTCAGAGAGCACAGTAGTTCTGGTCTATCCTCCTTGGGTTTCTTAGTCCTTAGCAAGTCACCCCAGATCTGTGAATTATTATAATTAATTACTATTATTTATTCAGTGAAAAGTTTATCTAATAAACCACCTCTACAGATTTGGACAAATCCAAGCCATCCACCGAAATGCGAACCTCGCCAATTATGTCGTTGTGCGAATAACGATCGTAGTCGAGCACCTGGAGGATCAGCTCCTTGCCCTGGAGCTGATCACGGGAAACCGGAAACTTGAAATGCTGGTCAAAGTACGGATTGGATTCACCGCGATGGATGTGGGTCTGTCGTTTACGGCTGTCCACTTCCGGTTGCAGCATCAGCCGCACATACGGATCTCGGAAACCGCCCTCCTCAATGGGACTGAGATTGTGAGCTGGGATTTGATAAATCCAAGGATTAAAATGAAGGATTGTGATTATGGGAAGTAATCTCACCTTCAATTAGATGCACAGTCAAATCAAACAGGTGATAATCGTATTTCACTCGCAGGTGCAAACGTCCCACGGCATGACTCGATTCCGGGGCTGTCAGATACACGGGTCCGTCCGGCAAACGATACAAGTCCGGCTGTAGGGCGCCCAGGGGCGAGGCGGGACCCACACTGGGATCTACTCCTGGCTGAGATCGTGGTGGTATCAGTAACGGCGAAAGGCATCGTCCTCCGGCCACTCCCACGCCCTTTCCGGAACTGCCACTCACGATGGCCGAGGCTCCGGCCAAGGATGCCAGGCTGCTCTGCGACGGACTGGGTGTACGCATGTCTCCCGGATCCGTGACGGAGTGGGCCGGGCTGCCGCAACGGGCATCCAGGGAAATGGTGCGCATGGGGCTCGGGGATCTGGCCAGGTGATGGGGAAAAGCCGGCTCACTCGGCAGCGAACTACGTCCGTCCGGTCCAAAGGTGCGAATCTGTGGTGAAGAACCGCGATGACCCTGGAGAGTTACAAAATTGTTAGTTCTGAATACGAAAGTATCTTAATCTTAGAACTCACCGAGTGCCTGGAGGGAGCACTATCCACGCTGCTCTGGCTGGAGATGGACGGTGTGCGCTGGAGACGCGGCGGGAAGGAGCGACTCTGGTGGTGCAAGTGGAGCGGACTGTGGAATACTTCGGCGGGTCCGCGCAAGATTTCCGTTCCGGTGGCCGAGACGGTGCCCATGTGATGATGATTCAGCCCCATGCCGCCCATTCCATGCATCTGGCTGGCCGGCTGAATGGGCTGGCATTCCTTGGCGATGGCCACTTCCTGCAAAGTTGAAAATAACACGTTTAAGTTTAATCCTTTAGAGAAACGCCCTAAAAATAGGATATATGAACCTCCGAGTCCGTGGGCAAATCACAGCTGTCGCTGACACTACCGGCCGATACGCTGCCAATGCCGCTGGTGGTCGAGGTGACCGACGAGGCCGAGGGCGGCGGAGTCATCGGCTGTGGCGGCGGGGTGGTGCCGCCCCCCGAGCCACCATCGCCGATCATGGGCAGGGTGTGCACCACCCCGTTACCCCCGCCAGTGGCGCCTGCAGTGGAGGCAGCCCCACTCCCACTAGCACTTCCCTCGTCCGCCGAATTCCGGTCGAGGGTGACCCGGCGCACCGCACCCACACGCTCCTTGGCCATCCGGGACCAGGATTCGATGCGCTTGTGGGCCAGCCAGCAGGCTGCAGGACCCAGGCCACTCATCTTTTGCCAATTACCAGGCCACTGAAGCTCGCTTTTATTTTATTGGGATTTCTGCGGAAAAGGAGGGAGAAGGTTTTGTTGCTTGGCTACTTTGGAAGTTTTGCTCCAAAAGAAATTGCTGCTTCAATGCTCTTAGCCAGGTTACACTCGAAGAAAAGGGGGAATTAAAAAAAAATAATATAAAAGTGTTTTAAGCTTATTCAAAAGCGATTGGGGATTATAACATAAGAAAAGTTAAACAAAGGACCTCTAAGTATGTATGTGTGATGCAAGATCCTCCTCCTGAAGCCTGTATTTTTTTGTGTGCACCCACACAATAGGCCGTTTTTAATCCGCTTAGGCAAATACACTCACACGCCATTAGACTGAACCAACCACCCACCCACCAACACCAAGCCCCAAGAGCCCCCGAAAGGAAATGGCACAGGATGAGTTGCCGGACCGTACAGGAGTGCGGTTTTGGCGTGGCATCCTTGAACTGGCATTAATTATAGCCGTGGTATTGCAGGCGAACCAAAGGAGATTGAGGGCATGTAGAGGAACTTTTGAATAGGTGGCTGTCATGCCAACTGCATAGGTTTAAGGAATGACGAGAAATCAAGCTAATCAGTCACTCAACTAGTTCTTTCCGGCTATGGTGTTCTAAGAGGATAAAGGCTAATTATTCAAAAGGAAACTATGAATACTCTTATGATAATATTAGCTAGCGTATAGATACAAATGCCTTCCTAAAGGTGACATCTGACTATGAAAGCTAGTGAAAGTTGTATTTCAACAGCTTCCTGCTGTTTCTGGTTAATATTAAAGAGCCTAACTACTTGCCAAGTCCATAAATATGCAGAGAAGGATGCCGGGCCTCCATCGCCGATATGGTTGGTAGTCGTATCATGAATATGCAGACGAGGCATTCTCCGGCGAACCTCACAATTCCCCAGCGAGCGATTTGTCTTGCACTCGGAATTCGGAATGCCACTCCCGAATATATATTTTTTTCAACGTTTTTCGATACGCAGCGTGTCGAAAGGCGAAATGCGAATTCATTGGCATTCGTCCACGCCCAGGAGCAGTTTAATGGAAAGGACAGGAGCTGGGATACATACCGGGACGGGAGAGAGACTCCTGGGAGGGGTTGTTCAATACAAAAGTAAACAAAAAACTTATTTTTCAAGTATTAAATAAATTAAATGAAATTAAGCACGTGTAGCGAATGACATCAAAACATGGAAACAGACAACAGGACATTCGATAAATGAGCGGGAAGCGCAAGCGAGAGGGAAGAGAATCAAGGACCAACCCTCAAATTAGTTTGGGATAATAAAAATGTGCTCGCTCGGTCAAAGAAAAATGTTGTCCAGGTCCTTGTCTCTCACACACACACACTAACACATCGAAAGGAGGTCCTTAATGTTCTTAATGTGTCGTGTGTGTTTTGTGGGATGTCCTAGATTTTGTAAAAGGATTTTTATTGATTTGGTAACATTACTCGGAGTTATTCATCACATTCATTGCTGGAGTGTCGCCAATTTGGCTGCAAATAATTGAAGTGAAGGGAACAGCTGCTTCGAAAAAGGATAACAAGGATATTGATTCCGTGAGCTGGTAAAGAGATTTTCCCAGAATTTCAAAACAAGAAAGTGTGTAATAGTAGGGATAAATAGGAACTTGTTTAAGCAAAATAATTGGTGCAAAAAATTTGCCAAATTAAACCAAAAACTTGTGTGACACTTTGCAAAAGTGTAAACTCCTCATAGTACTAATCCTCCTTTGATCCTTTTAAATGTCACCCAAAATTATAGGTACGAGGGATGTGCTGGACGGTGGGGGGAGAGACTTCCCTGCGAAAACATCAACATCACTAATGCCATTGAAATGCAGCCAACCGCACCATTGCTAATTGACACCTATGCCTGTAAACTGCAATCAAAGCGGCCAGCGGCCAAGCCCACAGTTTTCCACATCCCTCACCTCATCCCTCCACATAAATATACAGAAAATGAGCTAAAAATCCTCACGAAAATCCCCCAAAAAAAGATACTAAATTGTGGAAAGTGAAAAGTAAAAGGATGCCGCACCCATGGCGAGCAATGAAATTGTGTTGCATGTGGCAAATTGCAAGCTATCATCGACGCATCTACGACCAGATTCTCACCACCTCAGCACACCCCTCGAGGACACTCGAGTAGATAAATATGAAATTGAACATTTTCCAGCTTGTTTGGTATTGCTGAAGGATTGATTAATGGGATTTTCATGGTTCGTGCTCTCGGTACATAGTTTCATATTGTCCTTTGCATGCTAGAGCATTTCCACTTCGTAGTGGGGCACTCAGCTTATAGTCAGCTCCTCCTTCTCATTTCTCCCCAAAGCGCTGATATATTTTTCCTTTAAGCTTTCATCGGATTCTTTTTTTTTTTGCAGCTCTTCAGTGTCAGTTATGAGCGAGCTCGAAGACTGAAACATTGGCTTCGAACCTAAATGGAATGTATGTGGGCTGAGTCTATATAAACATGATAAAGCTCTCAGTCAACTCAGCTTGGACATTTGTGACATGCTTCAAAGATATGGTTTTTTAAACAAGAGATTACTTATCTTAAATATAAATAGTTAGATACTCTATAGATTTCCTAAACATAAGTAATAAGAAACTTTATAGTTTTCTCTTCAATTGCACTCAATTAGTCAATTAGTATATTATAATCTCATGAATGTCTATTAAGCTAATTAAAGCGTAAAGCTAATTCCGGAAATTTAATTATTTTGACCAAGATTTATGTCAGCAGACATGACTCTGGCAATTACGCCGGTTCTGGCTAAAGTTTTTCGATTAAAGTGCAAGCAGTTTGCATTTCGTAAGCCAAGTGCATTCTAATTAGTTACACAAATTCATTTCAAACTTGTTGCTACTGGATGGTGTAACTTTTACGAAAACTTTCGATTAGCAGGCGCTGGAAATGGAGAGCACTTTTATGTGTCAACCTTCAACATATTCAGTTTCCTTTCAACTTCCGAGCTAAATTGTTTCGTTTCATTTTTTAAAAATTTTCATTTTATTTTTTTGTAAACGTGGCAATGGCGGTACGGATCCTTAGTGTTTTGCGGTTGGCCGAGCTCTTCCCCAACCGATTTGGTGGTCTCCACCGTTCGCTGAATCCTGTGAATCCTGCTATTCCTGTTTGTGGCATGAGCAGCAAGAAGGGTAAAAAAGATGGCTGCGAAAAAGCAAAAAAATCCTGCGGTAGCAACCAGTTTTTTTGGTGGCTGCTTTAAAAGTGCGTGAGGCGACCCATTTCTATATCCTTTTTTTTGTTGAATTCCTTATTGATTTCTAATAGAGGAGGAGCCGTACAGAAGAGACGAAAAGAAGGAGAAGGGCAAGCGCTGCAAGGATCCTTGCAAGGATGGTCCCTGCCGACCCGGAAAATAACAAATTCTAAGCAACACTCGAACTCCACTCCAGCTTATAATTGCCAAGGTTCATAGGTCGTCATTGCATGTTCTAAAATACGCTAAATTAAGTCAAAATTCCGTGCTCAATACAACAAAAAATATAATGCCAAGCATCAGAAATACTTAACAATATTTTAAAAATTAATTTAAGAGGTGTGATATTTTATTTCATATTTTCAAAAAAAAAAGATCCGTGAGGTTTTCCAGGGAGAACCTCTCAGCATCTGCTGGCACCTATATGACGGGTTGTGCTCCTGTCCCATGTCCTAGGTCCTATCCTGTGCCCCCCCATTTCAGACTGTCACTGGCAGACAGTGCTCCTCTAAAGCTGACATTGTGGCGCATACATTTTAATCCTATTAGCACAGTAGTTACTGTTATTTCATATTGCAGTAATTTTTCTAGATTGCTCTCCCTGCCTGCAGAGCAGACAATGCTAGCAACAAAGCTGGACGCCTGTCACTCCAGTCCGCCGATGTCCTTGAGCTTGACCAGCCACCCTCCCCTTCTCCATTGGTCGAAGGCCAAGCCCCATGCCCCCATGCCACCCACACTACCTCTGGGAAAATGGAAATTGTCATCGCCGGTGTTGTTTCTACAAGAGCAGCTGTTATCCTTTTTTTTATTGTATGCACAAATATTCTGTGGTGATGACTGCTTTGGATGGCTGGTCAGGATACTTGGGTGTGGTTTGGCCGTCTTCAGGAGACGGAAAGCTAGCCTGCGTGTTTCGAACAGGTGCAAAAGGCTTGTGGAAAGCGCCAGGAAAGGCGGTGACGAGATGGCAAGGATTTGGTTGGAAATGAAAAAGGTTTTCGCATTCTTGAGTGCAGATTCAGGGGAGCTCATTTGAATTCCAAAGTGAACGGGCTTTACCAGACACGAAAGCTAAAATAAAAGTTGAGTAAATATTTTCTGAAGAAAACTTGACAATTCCGGATGGTTTTCCTCGAAAAGGGTAACCTATTTTTAGCTTGTACTGCATATTTAAGTCACTTTATTTAATATTAATTTAGAAAGTTTATGATCTGACATCTGTCTGTGACAAACCCATTAGACTCCTACTAGAACCAACTCAAAATATGCGATATACGTCTACCAAACTAATCTTTTTTGGAGATAAAAGAACAATTAACAAGCAAATTAGGTATTCAAAACTTTATTGTAGTTTGAACAAAGAGCCAACAATTGGCCAGGATAACTTTTGACACACATCGTCTAAGCCGTAATGTGAGCCGGGCCAAAAGCAGAAATCCGGAATCAGGAACGAGGAAGAAGGCATCAGGCATCAGGCACCAAGCAGCCGCCAACAAATGAACAGCAAACACACACACAATAAGATTTCCGCTGCATAAGTCTTTTGTAATCTCATTTAAATAATTGCGGCAAAACAACAGAAAGAAAGAGACAGGACGATGGCGATAGAAAGAGAAAGGCAGAGAAGAACAGACAAAAACCAAATCCGCAAATCTGTGCTTCTCCGACCGACCCAGTTCTAGCCGGACGGACGGACAGCCATTTGAACGTGGCCGGAAATTAAAATGTAAAACAGCAGCTCATTATACGCTCACCTACACATCAACAAAAGACAAAGTAAGGGATAGCCAAACGAAAAGAGATGGCCATATAAATAGAAACAGGGACAGGGACAGAGATGGTTGGAAGTGGGGCAGCGAGGAAATGACAGGACTCACTTACACTGCAAAACGGTAATTCATCTTGCACTTTTTGTGGTTTAAAGGAAATTAGGTTGCTCGCTTGCACGATTCCTTCCTTTTCCTCCTCGCTCCTCGGTTTTTCCTGGCGTGCACTTTATGATCCTGCCACACAATTTGTGTTGCCTGTTATTGCCTGACATTTATGGGTGGGAGTTATTATACTCGTATTGTGCTGCAAGTGCAAGTGCAGCCCCCCATGGAACTAACATGCCAACTTTGTCCTCCCAGCCTTCCGTGGTGCACTTTATTGTGGTGCCCCCGTACAAACTAAGCTTTATTGCAGCAACTTAAAAATAGGGGGTGGAGCACAATATAATAGTATATACGGACATGGATCTCTATTCAGTTCAACGAAGCTGAATTCCTTTACGTTTTATGACTAGAGACTTAGATACCTTCTATTTGAGATAATTGAAAACTAAACGCTGAAATAAAATTCCAAGGATGAAAATTGTAGTTAAAACAAGATTAAACATCTTTTAAGAACCCTTATGATAATTTATTTGATATCCAACCTCTCATAAAGTATTAAAGAAAGTACTCTAACAATTGCAACAAGTGCGGAATACATTTGAGCAACCCATTCGTAATCCTCCCAGGATTTTCAACAGTTTCCCGCACATATTGTTGTGGAAAGTAGTGGGAAATTGCGCAGTTATTGTGCGGTGAGAAAAACCCCGATCCAACACTTGTCTTCGCAGGAAGAATCAGCCGACGATAATCCGCTCATCAAACGTCAATACAGCTCTCATCGCAACCCGGATGCCTGTCTGTCAACTTGTTTACAAAGGCGAGATGCGAGACGAGTCCTTGGTGGGGATGGCGAGCCAGGACGAGCCGACAGGACATCATCATCCATAGCCACCCGGAGGCAAGAAATTAATCACCAATACAATGGAAATTGTGCGGCTGCAGTGCGTCGATTGCATTTAGCGACGGCAGCTTTTCCTCTAGTCCCATTTCCAATCTCTGTGGCAAGTAGCCCTCGGGCCACACGTACGCACAGTGCCGCACAAAAGGGTGCGTCGGAATGTGTTTAATGCTATTTGCTCTATTTATGTGAGCGTTTTATTTATTTTCATTATTTGTGGGAAGGGAGTCGTATATGGGAGAAGAATATATTTAATATAAAGGGTTTTTATTGAAGAAAGTATAATGAAAGGATGGAATATATAAAGGATAAATAGAGAATAAAGGATATTATTGAAGAAATCTTAACTTAAACATTTAAGAGTTAAGGTATTCAACTTGTTGTTTGAACTTGTTTCATGAACTTTATGAAATCAAAAATGCATTTTATTTTCCAATTCCAACCACAAGACCTCTTTCAGAAATTAAAACCAATTAAATCAATTATCAGCAACATGTATGGCCTAAATGACCCCCCCAATCCATTTGGTTGTCAAAATCTATTAGCAAACTTCCTTTGCCGAAATGGAAAACTCCTGTTTGCCACTCTCAACATCTGTAGGCCGACAATGGCATCCGTCTTTGCGGTTTCAATCAAAACAAAATCAGAATCAGACTCAATATTGCCATAAACAAATACAATGCATGAGGAGTAATGTATCGGGCCTAGAATGTTTTTGCAATTCGCTGTGCGAAAGGAGCCAAAGGAAGAAAAAGGATTGAGATCAAAGCGGTGCGCACTCCACACCCGCTCCGGTAATTTGGCCATTTAACCCTTCGCAAATCAAAGGACCTTTGTCTGGGGGCACTGCAACGCATTGACATGATCCGATTTGCCATCTCCATTCAGGGGATGTGGATGCTGATGGCGATACTAATGCATCCAATGCATGTTGCATGCAATCTCGTTAGGGATCCAGAAAAGAAAAGGAAAAAGGATTTTCTCGAATAGAGGTTTCGCGTCTGAGATTTCGCACAAATCAAGGACATTCATCGCCTCGAATTCAACCTCTTCTGCACCGGGAGTAGGGACCTCCAGGCTCCACCACTACTCACACCCCGGGAAATTCCCCCGTGGCTGAAAAACTTTTTCAAGCCCCTCAAATATTGTGACGTCAATGGCCTCGCCGGCTTCAGTTCGGTGTCCCAGTCCCAGCAGACTCGTCGTCTCGGTTCAGCTGTTTATTTGTTGACTTTGGCCCAAAAGAGTTTCAATTAGGCGCAACGCTTTCTCCTCTCAAACTTTTAAATATAAACAAAGCCTATCTAAATTTTGCATCTTTGTTTTTTTTTTTTTTTTAATTTTTGCTTCATGACTTATTTTAGCGCTGCGATAATTTCATTTGGCTGAGCCAACTTAAATATTGTTGGACAGTTGATTTTTGACAAGGGCATGACATTGGGCCAAGATCTTAGAGGGAAATCCACCGTGAAGGTGAAATAAAAGCTATTTTTAGGTCTAAGTTTTTATTTTTATATTTTACTCTTGATAAGTTTAGTTACTAAGAATAAAGCAATAGGATTAAATATAGATTATTTAAGAAGAATAAATAGAGGTGATATTAAACAGAAAACCATTTGTCATGTAATTATAGTGTATAAAAAAAAGGAATATGGTGGTTCTTAACTCTGGTTTATTAACTCCAAACATGCGCTTTTGCCCCATATTCTAAATAAAGTCCCTAAGTAAACTGTATCATTAAGTTCCCCCACAAATAGTAGAACCCAACATAGTTATATAAATTGCGCCAGAAAAAGCCATCCTAGTTAGGAGCTCTCCCCCTAGTTGACCCCACCGGATGATGAACATTTCAATTGTCAGTTTCTGATGGACAAATTAATTATTGGCTGAAATTTGATTGCCATTTGCCCGGGCACCGGAGCGAGGCCCCAACTTTTTGGGCCCAGCCTCAGCCCACCTCACCTCACGGCCCCCCTCAACGGTGCAAAAAGGTTCTGACAAATCGATGAGTTGGGTTTTCAGAGTGTGAGTGTAAATAAGAGTGTGTGTGGGTGTGTACGTGTTAGCCCGGAATCGTTATCAGGGCATCATTTTTGGCTTTCATCTCTTTGCCGTTGGGTTTATACAGCCACCACCGACGCGTCGGTTGGCCCTGTTTTTCCAGGGCTTTCTCGCTGTCAACGCTGGCAATACAAAATATTTTGAAAACTTTTTGCTTGCATAAGCCAGAGTGCTATATGGGTTTTAAACACAATCTATACTGCGGGGTATATGACATACGAGTAGGATGAGCCTGCCTGCCTGCCATAGAAGTCTAGATTCAATATCTCGATTGTTTGGTGCAAATTGCCAGCAAAAGTCTATTCAGATTTTTTACGTGATTTCTTCTACCATGAAGAAACAAAAAAAACAGGCAGCTTGATGGGAAATTCTTTTATGGAAAAAAATGAAAAAATTTCTTGCCGCTTTATTGCATTCAAACTCCTGTATCGTTCTTTAATTTCTTTCGAGTCCAAGTTCCAGTTCGGCTTTCTTAAT